GAAGAGTAGGTGCACTTTCTAAATATGTCTATATATTCTTACTGTTACTTTTTATGACTTCATTTAAATGCCAGAATAAGCACTGTTAAAAATGTGTTCCATTCATATGTTCCTTATCAAGGCTGTGGGGGGGCTGGAGCCTATCCCAGCTGTCATAGGGCAAGAGGCAGGATCGCCAGTCTATCGCAGGGCTAACACAGACAGACAACCATTTGCACTTACATTCACACCGATGGGCAATTTAGAATCATTAGTTAACGTAACCCCACTAATTGCATGTCTCAGGTTTGTGGGAGGAAGCCGGAGTACCCAGAGAGAACCCACAGAAACACGGGGATAACATGCAAACGCAGATGGTGGAATCGAACTCAGGACTGTGAGGCGACAGTGCAGTGCGTGCCATATCAGGATGATGAGAAGATCATAGTGGCTTTACTGTTACATAAAGGTTGAAGGTTCTGTGACACTAATCTGCTCCAGAGCAGGTTAGGGACATAGCTCAAATCATCATGATTTACCCCAGAAAGAAGTGAACGAACTTTGTTGTACAGAAAATCAAAGGTTTCTGAATTTGAGAGGTTCTCTGGTCTGCAGATGCTTACATCTTTTGGAACATTAAAATCTTTAAAGATACCAGCTGACTTTGAAAAAAAAAAATCCAAAACCCTCTTTAAGACTGTCCTCTCCTGGGTTCCTGTGTACAGTGAGTGTATACTATAAGGAAAGATGCAAAGCAATACATGCTTGCTCTTTGTGGTAAAATCCAGGAATATCATGTTTTTCTATACCACCAAATCGCAATAACTGTTCCGTCATTGGAAGGAAGCCCTACAGTAAGTCAAAACCCCACATCGCTCCGAGTGTCCCCGTAAGGACACGTTGCCATGTTGCAGTATTACTGTCTGCTGTATCACTACAGTTGCTGTTACTCTATTTGATACCAGAAAAAATGCATTAAAAAAGAATCAAGGTGTTTGTCATTTCATACATTATTCTTTATTTAACACATGTACAGTATAAACAGTGCCAATATACACACGTGGCAGATGGGTTCAATCAGACTCTCAGGTGGTCTCGATTCCCACATTCCCACACCAAATATTATTCCTCACTAAAAACCAGTCAAATAGAGTACAAAACAGGAACTCCAGCAGCTTGCAGTCATTAACTGTGGGCCAACGCCAGAGACTTCTGCAGCTCCGCCAGGTGATTGGAAGCTTGTGTGATCATCATACGGATTGCATCCTGAACTGACCAGACAGACACATTAAATAACACAGTTTGAACATTTAGTCCAAGAGGGGAAAAACTGAGATGCTGCTAAGTGTTTATTTTCTTTTACCTATATCTAACTTCTGATCTGATGACACAATGACTTTTAGTGGACCTGGTAAAACAAAAGTGAAAAAAACAACAACTGTGTACCTCATGTGTGACATTCTTGTTCCTATGGAATTCCTCTCTGGCCCAGTCTCTCAAGAACTTCCTATCTGCCTCATCTGGCACCCGTCGTATGGTCCTCAGTATGTTTCTGTAGATCCCCAACACATTCTGCCTGTGTAAAAACTTAGCCAAACGTATGCTATTAGGGCACACAGTTTAATATATGCGGTTGTGCTGGGACCAAATCTGGCTTAATGCTTTTAGTGCCACTGTTAATAATGTTTGAAACTTATTTAAAAACATGCAGTATTGCTCTGATAATATGCACAGATTCCTTAGAGACTCTTCTAACCTAAGTATGAAACAACATACTTAAAAACAACATCCCTGCACTAAGTAACCACAAAATTTTTAAATTGTTGTTCTGCGACACATAGAAAGAAGAGGACATTTGTAATTTTCTATTGAGTAAATATTTTCATTTCTACATTGTTTTTACAGAACTCCTAAATACTATTTAAACTAATAATGGATTGGATTTATATAGCGCTTTTCAAGGCACCCAAAGCGCTTTACAATACCACTATTCATTCACTCTCACATTCACACACTGGTGGAGGCAAGCTACGGTTGCAGCCACAGCTGCCCTGGGGCAGACTGACAGAAGCGAGGCTGCCATATCGCGCCATCGGCCCCTCTGGCCAACACCAGTAGGCAAGTAGGGTAAAGTGTCTTGCCCAGGGACACAACGACCAGGACAGAGAGCCCAGGGATCGAACCGGCGACCTTCCGGTTACAGATGCAATTCCCAACCCCCTGAGCCACGGTCGCCCAACTAAGAAGACTATATAATCTCAACATTTGGTATAATTTAGATAGATGACTTTGTGCTCTTATTTTATTGGTCAGCTCTTTCTCACAAAAATATCTTGCCATCTACTCGTTTCATTTGTTTTGACAATGTCTGTATTCCTTAATGGTAGAGGTGGGAATCACCATACATCCCACGATACGATATTATCACAATACTTAACACACGATACGATATTATTGCAATTTTTAAAAATATTTTGCGATATTCAGATTCTGTACATAAAGGTAAACTTTATCAATATTCATTTTATCTAATATCAAAGTCTCGCACTCAGTCTTTCTCTCATTTCAGTCATTTTTATTGTTGTACTACAGTCTAGTCCAACTTAACTGAATGCAACCATCTGGTACAATTATAGCTATTCTGAACTATGCAATTTAAGAAAACTATGCAGCCCCTTCAGCAACTGAAGAATTTGAAAGTAAATTAAAACAAAATATAATTTTACATTAAATAAAAAAGTTTTAAACTTAATTAAAATAAAACATGTCTTAAATTAAAATAAATAAACTGTCATGTTTATTGCTGCCAAAAAAAGTTAAACACATTTGGACAGTGAAGGAATGTCAGGATTCTTGCTCAGAAAAAGGAGCTGATCAACATGCTCTGAAGTCAGAGCACAAAAACCTTTTTTGTAACAAAATATCACGATACTACACAGTATCGATTTTTCCCCCCACCCCTATTTAATGGTCTGTCCAGTGTCTGATACTGTGTGTGTTTATTCCAAAGTTCGATAACTTTTTCTTCAAGAAGGAAAAACTAAACAAAACACTAAGAACTGGGGTTATTTTTGTACAACTCTTCAGAAAAGGCCACTGATGTCACAGTATGCTATCCCAGCAAAGATTTGGACCTTTAATGACTGTTGTTTTTTCACGATGTCTTGCAGCGGCTGAAAAACAGTTTCAAAATAAAAGGTGAAAAGGTTTCTAAACAGAAGGCATAAATGTCGACTTTCCTTTTTGCCGGGGTACCCTGAACACTTTGGGCCAGAACATGACGTTCTTTTTCACCATGTTTACTAGGAGGTGACGGGCGTACATTGGGACTAGCTAGTAGTAGGGTACAGAGAACTAATAAAGCTAGTCTGTTAGCTACTCAACTTTTTTAGATTTTACACCTAACACTGCTGTAGATATTTCATATCATATATATATATATATATTTACCTGCTTTAAAGAAAGCGCAGCAGACGGCAACCGTGAAACGGTCATATTTACTCGGCACTTTCACAGGCGGATGTTGAAATGACGCTAATAGCGCCTCACTGTTTCTCGCCCCCTGGTGGAGCGGAGGACATAACAAGAACCAGTACCGACAGAAAGTGCTAAGTTTTATTTTTGTGGCATTTGATGGTGACCCTTTATTTCGGAGTTGCAAACGAATTAATACACACACACAATCGATTTACTATGTTTATCATTACCCCCACTTGCCCCACAGAGAGAGGAAAAAAACTGAAATATGACCAGATGAAATATGACCAATATGTTGAAATATATAATAATTACACATACTACTAGTCATCAATTTCATGTTCTTCCAAAAGCACGTTCCAGTTTGTTTTTTTAACTGAATAATGGTTGAACGGGTCCATCCACAGTTTTAATAAACGGAAATACAAAATGTCATTAGATTATCGCCCCCTTCCGTGTCAATACACTTCCTGGCAACATATTACTTTACTATCATTATACATAATTTCTGTGCTTTATATTTTAAGATTAATTTTAAGATTAACTGTTTAACACATTAACTGTTCTTGAATTTAAGATTTCAAGATTTTTGACTACAAAAATAGTGTTAGTGTGTGGGCTGTAAAGCCTGCTTAATTATTTCAATTGTTCTTTTCTGAAGTTTACATAAAGTTTACATAAAGGTTGAAGTATGTATTTCCCCAGACTTCTAAACAGTACTTAAGGCAAAAAGTAATGCAAAAGATGGTGTGCATTACTCAGTGCAGAGATGCTCTTGACAGTTTTGCTTGTACTATTTTTGTGAGGTTTCCCAGAAATGTGCCAACAACTTGTTCCATCAGCTTGTTTGTACTCTCTGCTCATATTGCCTTCATATTAAATAATTTTTGCTTTTTAAAGAACTTATTTTAATATTGCACTCAACAACAAACAAAGCTCCCTAAAAGAAAAATGTAACTTCAAGGGCCAAATTGCATTGTACTTCTTCACGTCAATATAGTAGGGGTGACATGGGCCGTGATAGCAATCTTAACCTCCTAAGACCCGAACTCTTCCACGGAATGCATTTTTAATTGGGAATATTGGGAATGTAAAAACAAAGAATTACCAGATTTATAAATCTGGGTACTCCGGCTTCCAGATTTATTGTTTTACCTGATTTTTGTTTCTAAGAAAAATGAGAGCCACATATGAGGATATTCGTTTAAAATTTCGATAGAAATGTAGCAGTATAATGTTCTTGTAAGTGGATATCAGGCCCTTGTAGAGCAACATTGAGTATTTTGGTCTAAATAACCCAAAATGTGATGTCCACATATTTGGACGCCAGGTCCTAGGAGGTTAGAACAACATATTTGGGGATTTTTCTTTTTTGAAGAACTGCTCCACATATAAAATCAACAGTCTTCCATCATCTTTGATTTGTGGAATTCTCCCATAGCTCAGGATTCTTCGACTGCTGCATCTCTGTTAAAACGAGGTTCAAGGTTTGGGTGGCTCTCTTCTCTGTGGCTTTTAAAACAAGTGAGTCACAGACAGTGGGATTTTGTTCATCTCATGATTTAATAGACAGATGCAATTAACTCGTTAAATATGTATACATGTATGTCCACATTAAAGAACACACATTTCAGTACACATCATGAACATGTTTCCACAGACAGTCAGCTGTGTCACACTACAAAGGGAAGATGAACACAACTGAAGTGTTTCTAAAGCACAAAGATGGGTTCTCCCAGAGGCCTTTATAAAAAGCGGACTCTGCAGCTGCTGTGCTTCACAGTACATGACTGAAACAAACTAGTAAAAATCCTGATCTGTCACCTGCTACTTGAGGTGTGACATGAGATGCAGTGCTGTTCTTTCCAAGGCACATGTTTGAGTTCCTTTAATATCAGCTCCAGCATGCTACTGTTCAGTTTAGCCTTGAAAAAGGCTTCTATTATACAAAGCTCAGTCCTGCTGTTGTGCTCAGGGTGAAGATAATTCTTTGATCTTCATAACACTGACTAAACATTCAAACAAATGTAAAACAGGGCTATCATACAGGGACAGAGGTATTTACTGATGCTTAACTACGGTATTTCACGCACATGGAAATCACATTTTTGTTTCTGTTATTTAATTTCAGACGTGCAAGTTAAAGCAATCCTTTGTTACATGACAAAAGACACCAAATTCCCCTGATGCAGACAAAACAGCAACACTTGCTATCCAGCTCGACTAGAACCTACAGTAATAATAAGAAAATAAAGGCACATTTACAGCTCAGTCTCTGATCTCTGACAGGCTAGCAGCAGACTGGCATTTTGCGGTGGCTGCTGCCCATTTCCCTCTTTCCTGTAAAAAGATGGCTCCTCATCAGCCTACTGCTCAGCCACAGTAACAAGTTCAAACCACTGCCTGAGTGCGTCGCTGAGTGTTGCTGGCAAGGCGTTGATGTCTCGCAGGATCACGTAGAAGGGAAAGGGAAACTCATCCATGTAGGAGTGGATCTCTGGCAGCTCTCCTGGCCCTTTGAAGATGGGCACCTTGATGTCTAGAATGGAATCCTGCAGCACAGTATCGAGGTTTAGTTACGATTTGAGACTTAAACTTTGGAAAATACCCAACAATCACATTCTGGTCTCGTACCCGGGAGTTCGGATTGTCCAGCACCATGAAGATGATGAAGATACCAGCGCTGCGTGCTGCACGCACAGCGGCCATTACCCGCTCCTTTCCCTCCAGGAAGAGCCCCCGACCATCAGACACGATCACAAGCAGCTGGGCTGTCTCTATGGAGGGATATCACAGATCAGTTTAAGACTGGACATCTGGTGAGTATGAATGAGCCACAGGCTCCTCTTTAGTTCATGACTATGACAAACTCCACCTCTTTTTCTAAAGAGAACAAACAACATCTGTCTATCAGACGTTCTTCTTCATTGACACAAATTCCACCTGAGACTCATTCAGAGAAGCTGAACTATCCTTATGTAGAAGTTACAGTTTTCTCTGGGTACCACTGGTTAATATAATATAATGATGATCAAAATTTCAGCTTTAAAGGGGGGGGAATTGTTGGTCACGTGTAATCAGAGGCTCCACATGAAAACCTCAAGAATGTTTATTTAAAAAAATGCTGCTCATGTAGGACTACAGTGAGTATTTTATGACAGCTGCACACTCATGCCCTCCACAGAGGCCACAGTCCTGCACGTAATAGTCCTTTAAGCCCACAACAGAGCATCTCAATACTGAACTAAGTGGCTAAACTACTTCCTATTGCTCTTCTAATTGGTTGAATCTCAGAGAACCTAAATGTGAACTGGATCACACCTACTCAGCAGGACAGTAGAACTTTTGTTTTCAAGCGCTCGTACACAGTAACTGCAGCTGGCTGTTAGGTGCATTAGGCATGGATATTGATAATAAAAAATGAACAAAACTATAAAACATTTAACACATTTGGTTGTATACATACTTGTACAATATAAACACTTCACGTGTCACATTCATGTGACAATCCCATGACTGTTAGGGTTCATTATATATTCTAATCTGCATACTGCCTGCAACCTTTTTGTTTTCTCAGGTGTTTGATCTAGTGTGAGGTCCAGTAAGCTGAGGAGCAGAATGAGGAGTCACCTGAGTTCATAGATCCTGGAATCTGCTGCCGTGCTGCCAGAAACATTTTAACTGAGGTCTCCAAAAACTGTAAATGACAGAGAGAGAATGAATGCAGCAGCACAGCAACATGTTCAGCACATGTCATCATGTTTAAGCAGAAGCTACAGTATGAGCACATTCAGAGCTGTGCTCAGGGGCGTGCCGATGATCACGCACACATTATAATAGCTCACTGAAGGCAAGTCGCTGACTTTGTACCAGTCAACAGTAATGTAATGCAAACATAATATTTATATGCCTGTAAATAAATATTACATTTCTATCATCCCAGCTGTATATGACTGTAATTCAGAGCCATGTTACTTTGTGATTCTTGTTCTAGAGCAGCACCACACCCATGGGAAGAGCTGCTGCTCTGAGATCATGTCGCTCCGAATGAAATCGTTAGCCTTTGCTAAAGAAGTTTCCTTTGACATTTACACCAAAATGCAGGCAAGCAGAAAAAAAACCCTCAAATACTTCTACTCACTCTAATATACAGAGAAGTTTCCACAGTACAATCAGTTCTGTCTTATCTATTTTATATTCTTGCTCTTAAAGAAACCAGCCTTTGTTTCCTTTTGAGTTTGCCTCATAAACCGCTGGACTGGACTGACATTTAGATTTGAGTGCTTTAGAGGTGCAAGGGCAGACTGACTACTTAAAGTGTGTTAGGCTACAAGACTTCACAACCATTTCCAATTTAGAATAACAAATTAACCTAACATGCATGTCTTTGGACTTAGGAGAAAACACACTTTTCCTGGTGACCCTGAACCTTTCCTCAGTTATGCTGCTGGGGTCTTCTTCACTCTCCATGTGTTTATACAGCACTTTGCATTTGTTCATTCGTTATTATTCATCTCTGGCTCTCCTCCACAGCGTGTCGGCCACAGCAGACTTCTCTCTGAGCCTGGTTGTGTCAGAGATTTCTTCCCACTGTTGCCAAAGTGCTTGTTCATACGGGTCATATGATTGTTCGGGTTTTTTCTGTATGTATGATTGTAGGGTCCACCTTACAATATAAAGTGGCTTGAGGTGACTGTTGTTGTGATTTGGTGTTATATAAATAAAACAGAATTTAACTGAACTGAACTCTGTACCATTCTATTTATTGTTAGATGAACTGGCTCTCTGTAGCTTTCTGTTATCATATTGCATTACTGTGTCTTACTTTCCTCATATAAGCATTGAAAAGATTTTTAAAGTATAATTATTTGTTCTTTTGTGTGATGATTCAGATAGCTGGAGGAGGATTCCCACCTGTGCTATTCTGGTCTTCTTCTGCTGGAACTGACAGAGCCTGAGAATCCGAGCCCCAGACTCGTCATTAAACTGATGCTGGAAGGGATGCAGCAGCTGCACCTGCTCCCCAAAGCTGCATACAAGAGCAAAAGTTCATTTATTTTAATGATGACATCACAACTGTACAGTACATGAAGCCATATTCACGCTGGTTCGTTTTTTTGGTTTTAGATCATATCACACAGCTATTAAAATTAAATCACAACATACAGAAAGATGAAGCTCTTACCTACAGACAGACACCTGGCCTACCTCCAGCAGAGTGAGGGCATTGATAATCACTGCCAGGGATTCAAATGCCAGCTGTGCATGGACGCAGGCACACAAACACACATGCAAGTTTTAATTAATGCAAACTTTAGATAAGATATGGGAAGCAAAAGTTGGGCATTATAGGGAAATGGCACATGAAAAACCATCAGTTAATAATAAGCACTAAATACACCGTTACTATTACTGATCGTTTCTGATCGGTATCTGATTGTAACTGGAGCCTCGAACCTGTTTAGAGTGGTTGTCCACCATGCTGGAGGAGTCGTCCACAGCCAGGCAGATCTGGTACTCTCTCTTGCTGGGCTTCGTCCGCCTTAACCAGATCTTGTCTTTGCGAAACTGACTGGCGATATAAGGGATCACCTTCCTCATGTTCAGACGCTTTCCTGTTCGGTAATCACCCCTGAGGACACGCACATATAAAGACACAAATATACAGTTGATACACACACACAGCATCAGCTCACATTAACAGTGGACCAGTTTCACCACAGCAGAGAGAATCAAGATTTCCTGTGTGCTTTACTGACTTTAGTTTGGCGGCCTGTGTGGGCTCCAAGATGAGACGGAGCTGCTCGCACAGCTGCTGAGAGAGAGCCGAGGTCAGAGTTTGGTACTGCTGCCACATGGAAGCCGCTACAGTCTCCTGAAACACAGTGACAGTTGCAGTTAATCACAGGAAAGAACCACGTTTTTCCTGTAAGCCATCACTCTGAGACGCTTTTCTTTTTTTTTATTATATAAAACACAAATGGGACACATTTAACTATTCCACCGTCTCCTGAGTGAAGCTTTGTGTTTTAGAAAATACATCAAATATATTCCCAACTTTCACATGATCCTCGTTATGTTCACAAGGACAGCATTTTTATTCAGATTTCCTTTATTTAAACATATTTGAATCTGCAGTGTGTTTGTGTCAGCATTCTTCAACAAATGCAACAAAAACGTATAAAAGACAAAACTTCTCAAGTCTCTTCTTCAGTTAACTGAAGAATAGCAGTGCAAGTCACACTTTCCTACGTGACAGCCACAGTTGAACATGTTTGGTTGAGTCTCCTGGGTCACCCTCACCTCCTCCTGAGTCCCCGGGGCCAGTTTGTGCCAGGCCTCCAGCTGCAGCTCCATCTCCCTCCTTGTTTCTTCTGGGTCTCTCCTCTGTGCTTTCTCCTGGCACATAAGCGCACACACAGACATACAGAGTTATCTTCACGTGTGTAACATTAAACTGATATGAACTGATGTGGAACTGAAGGCTTTGTGACTTTTTTAAATGTAATTAACTCTTTATGGCAGTCAGTGTACGAAAATCACAAGTGTAATGTGGCCTACACTTATTTACATCACTGTAAATCATCTCTTTGTCCACATTACTCAGTTATATGTAACAATAATCAATAATTAACAGTAATTTCAAATACGTTCACTTCTACAACACTTGACAGCAACTCCTTAGAGCGTACTGTGTACCTGCGCAGAGTCCAGAAGCAGCTCAGGAACAACATGAATTGTAGAGTCTGTGCTTCTGCTTGCTCGCTCTTCTTCTTCGGCTTGTTGTTTTTCTTTCCACCTCTCGTCCTCCTGCTCCTCTCCCTGCCTCTGGACCTCCATCTCTCCAGGGTCTACACCTGCAGTACAACAACACTAGTCAAGAGATGCTTCACATCTGAGAAGTTTAAAAATTGTTGAAATGAAAAAAAAAAAACGAGCAGGAGAAGAAGAGAATTTGACACCTGTCTGGGAAGCCTTTGAGGAGTCCAGCTGTTCAGGCTTCAGCTCCTGGACCTCAGCCGCTTGCAGATCAACCTCCTGGTCCTCTGTCTCCATGGACAAATCCTCTTCTTTGTCATCTTCATCCTGGCCCCGAGGCCCTGCTGTGCTCTCCTGCTCTGCACTGGCCACATCTAGGTGCAGTCACACCAACAAACAACAGTTATGTACTTGCTTTGAAAGGCTTAGTTTAAACTCCAGCCAAACCATCACAGACTCAGCTTCCAGGTGATCACCTACCATATGTCTGAGTGTCATAGTTCTGGTCTCCGTGCTTAATGTGCTCGTACAGGTCTGACACCTGCTGGGTGTCGCTCTGCCTGTTGTTCTCGAGGCTCTCTTTGCTTCTTTCGACTGTGCGCAGGCGCTTGTTGACTGGCTTGTTGTAGTCGCCTATAGAGCGTTCACTATCTGCTTGGCCAGGTTTCCTCTTCAAGCTCTGGAAAGGAAAAAAAAACTTAATTAAGAGGAATAAAGGGACACCGAACAGCAGCGGTGAGGCAGAGAATTTTGCCACACCTGAGTCTGACTCTGAGTTTGTCTGTGTGAAGCCATTGTTGCTGTCAGCTTTGACTGGTGGCCCTCAGACTGGCTGGCGTCAGCTGCTCCACTGCCATGCTCCTGTAAAACCATAATAGCATAAATATAGATACAAAAATCATGGCAGACATATTTTATACATGTGTACAAAAACCAAACCCAGCTAAAGTTTGGTGTGGAGGGCTTCACCGCTCTGTGAAAGTAACCAAGCAATTTTTTTGGATGCCATCATCTACTGTAAATTGCTATACAAAACAGTGACACTTTTTCATCTATACACCTTCAGGACAATTTCTGAAACCATTAGCAGTTAATAATGTTTTTCACAAGTGCAAGTAAAACTCTACATCTAGGATCTATATTCTATATCTAGAAAGAGAAATTTGGACCTCTTCAGCGCAGCCATGGAGAGGGAGAAGCTTTCAAAATGCCCTTACCCACAACCCCACCAGGTGCCAGGAGTGGGCTTTGCAGCAACAGCAGCTGCTGTGAGGTCAGGCAGTGTGTGAGAGACCAAGATGCAGACAAGACCAGGACCAGGACCACAGTCTGCCAGGTAAGTTGAGGTAGAAAACCCAGAGGCCCTTGCAGTGACTATTGCAAAGAACGAGCCGTCGCATCCCAGGGAAGGAAAAAAGAAGTGTTCAACCTAGCACGCCTCCAGTATTCCCTGTCAGCTCTCTCTCCTACCTCATGGTTCAAAGGCTCCTGAGGTTCCCAGGTCATCAGGCCTCTCTCAGTCCCCCTCTCCTCTAGACTGGAGAGACGAGACTCTCCAAGTACTATCAAGAATCCCCAGACACTGCATTGTGTTTTGGGGTAACAAAAGAAAAACTTGTGCTCCACACAGAACATATTATAAAATACAATACGTCAGCATTTGTGTGGCTCTCAAGCTGCACTGTGGCACACAAGAAGGCCCTTCAAGGGTGGACAACTTGTTTGTGTAACAGCTTCTCTGTCACACAAACAACCAATCAGAAAGAAGGGAGTCTCACCAGTGCTTTCACTCTTCCCACTTTCTCATTCAGAAGAAAGACAGATCGTCACACTCTGTCCTATTCTGTACTCTTTGTGTATTGAAGGAAAAAAGTACACATTCAGAACTGTCACACACAAAGCGCTCTGTCATTTAACTCACAATTCACATAGGCTAGGCATCAGGATATTCAGTCATATGCGGCCATCAAATATGCTCCTGATCACGGGAGACTCCGCTGTGAATCACTTCATAATCAATCAGAGTCACTTCGAGCCCACACAGAGTATCTGGAGCACAGTGTAGATTTGAATGTTACCTCTTTGGCCTCGTCTCTCTCCGAGGCTTCTCCTGCCAGCTCCACAGCAGTGTCGCTTTGAATGTTGTCCTCTCCTGTCTGACCGTCGGTGTCGTGCCATTTCCTCTCAGCGCACTCGGGCAGCTCCTCATCTTCACCACCACCTTCCTCCTCCTCCTATATACGCATTAAAAAAAAAAAAAAAAAAAAGGTCACATCAGTCAATACCGTTGCTCACGCCATGCATTGGTGTACTTATTTTGAACATGCACACCTTTGGCTCATGCCCTTTTTCATTTGATGAAGTCTTCGTGTCCTCGTCTCTTCCTGACTCCCGCTCCCTTTCCTCGTCCTTCTCTTCTTCATCTTTATCAGCCGAATCATCCTTTTCTGCTTCCTCTCCTCCCTCCTTCTCCTCTGCAGTTTCAGGCTCCCCATTGTTTTCTTCTCCATTTTGGTCCTTGTCCAGCTCCTCTGCTCCTTGCTCGTTTTCTCCTCCATCTTTCTCACCATCCTCCTCCTCATCCTGATCTGCTTCCATCCCTCTGTCATCGATGTTAAATGGATTATCCTCTGAAAAAGGAAAAAAATTGAATCATTCATTTTCAGCAATTTGTGACTTTTACATCTGTGAAAAGCTCTTTACAAATACACTTACTACACTTACTTGCTTACAATGACCCAGTCTAAAGCCAAAATTGAGCATCACATAAGACATCACTGATAATAAAGCATGCGTGTTTCTCGACTGTGTTAGTAAAGCTATAATTTAAGCAGCAGGCTTCACCTTCACCTTCACCTTCACCCTCATCTCCATCATCATTATCCTCTCCATCCTTGTCACCCTGGTCCAGATCGAGTTCCTCAGGCAGATCCATGGCCTCGGGCTCAGGTCTCTTGTCTTGTTGACCTTGGTAGGGGTCTACTTCATTTTCATCAAACTCTCTCTGGGACAAATAACAGAAACACAGAGCATGACACACTTGTCCATCCATGCAAATCCTGTTCTTCGCTCACACCGACATTTGCAGTTCAAAGCCCTAACGACTGTTTGTTGTCTATTACCGATTTTACTTTTGACACGTATTAAAATGGAAATCATGGGAGTTAGGTGAGAAGAAAAACCTCATCTCCTTGTTCATTGATCATGTCTTTCTCCTCTTCGTCCATCTGTTGGTCTTCATCCTGGTTCTTGTGATCTTTTTTGGGGTCTGCTGCATCCAGGTTGTCATCTTTGGCAACCAACTCAGACTCACCCTGAAAAAAAACATATGACCATTCATGATGTTACACAGAGAAAACTTTAACTAAAGCTTTCTGGTGGCTGCTTTATATAAATGAAGGTTTAAGATTGGATGCAAACTGCTCTGTCATATGTACTTTTTAAATTGTGTTAATGTTGTGGAGATACCTGATCCATGCCCTGACCAGACTCCTCCTCCTTGTCACTTCCTTCCTCCTCCCCCTCATCATCATCATCATCATCTCCCCACATTTTTTCATCCAGTGTATCTGTCTGGCCTTCACCCAGGTCACCCATTTTTTTGTCCAGTTCTTCGTCGTCCTCTTTATCTGATTCCTCGTCGTCACCTTCAGATCAAGCAAAGAAATGCAGAGAAAAAATTCAATCATGGTTACCAATTATCTTGTATAGAACCAGCTTGGGATTCCTCTGCTATCCAGCTTAACTGACCTGGTTCTTTCTCATCAGCGTCGCACATCTGGCCATCAAAGTCCTCTGACATCTCAACGGCATTGTCTTCTGACTTAATATCCTCTTTCTCATGCTGTTCAGTCTTTTCTTCCCCCTCCTTGAAGGTGTCCTCCAGCTAAAGGAAGCAAAGGGCAGGAAGACTTGAGTCAAAGTAAACAGTCATACAGTTCACACTACTTAGATGCCAGTATTTTCATCACCTGATCTTCATTCTCGATCTTGTCGCTGACATCTTTCGTGCCCTTTCCCTCTCCTATACCACCACCTTCATAATCGTGAAACTGTTCTGCTCCTTCTCCATCTCCAGCCATAAGCTCCTGAGGCAGGCAGAAACCCTGAAGGGGACACCACATCAACTGCTTAGTTAAAATTACACTGATGGCATTATTATTTCTTAAATAGGACCATGTGAGTACCTTCTGAGCGAGTTCAGTGAAGATGCTGGCCAGTACAGACAGAAGTTTGCCTGTGCTTCTATGTGCTCCCAGTGACACAGCCAGGTAGTAGCATACAAGGTCAGAGTAAATTCCTAGTAGAGGCTCCAGACGAACCAGCATCCTGCACGCCCTGTTTACCTCCTAAAAGTCAGCAGAAACATGTTAAGGTGAAGAGATTCTGAAGACAAAAAAGCCCTTTCATTGCACCTAAACAGATTTGAGTGCACTCAGACTTCCATTCACAGGTTAATATTTAATTCATTTAACCTATAATGAACTTATACTTTGAAAGCACATCTCTGAACAGTTCCAGATGTTCTTGGTACCTGGAAGTGTGGCGGCTGAGAGGAGTCCCTTTGTGTCTTTAGGTGGCACAGAAGCCTCTCCAGCCCAGTACTAACATCTCCCACACGCAGAGCCTCCACCTCAGCCTCCAGTTCCTCCTCCAGCAGGCGAGTCAGGTGACCAGGCTTTAGCAGGTCCTCCAGAGGCTCCTCCTTGTCCTCTTTGGCACCCTCTGAGATAATACATAAACGGAAGAGGTAACCATCATTGCATTATGAACACTGTATATACATTTGAACTGGCTGGAAACAGCCATATGCCAATGGCATGGTTGTAAGACCTACTAAGGATTTTATTCTCAGGATAAATTAAAACCACTTAGAATAACTGCCCCATCCACCACTGCTCTCTCATCCCTCATCTCCACCTCACTCTCTTGAACACAAGTCGGGGCTCTAATATTGAAAAATGTACATAAACATGTTTATATTATTCCAGCAAGTGTCCATTAAAAAATACATTTAAAAACAAATATAAACAAATTTGAATTCATTCTCACATTGCTCAACTATTATGTCACACGAGGCCAAGATTAATGACATCTACAGTAAGTATCCAGTTAGGCACCCCATTACTTTTAGGGTCAAGCACTAAACTAATATAATGCTTTCTGACTACCAATCCAACATTTTACCAGGTCCTAGGTTACCACTGCTGGTTTGAATGCAACCTTCTGACCTCTCTTGGTGTCTCCATGCTGCTCCCTTTGTTGTACTCTCTCCCGTTTCTTCACGAGTGTCTGGACAGAACACAACAATGTGTTGATGTTTACTTCAAGCTCAGCAGAGAACTCCGTACAGAAGGTTTGCTGGTGATCTGTAAGGGAAATAAAATAAAACATGAACTGCTGACCCATCTGAAACACTGTTAGTTATTCGTGCAGCTGCTCAGTGCTTTGACCTGTGTCATCGTGTCCCAGGGAGAGCACATGAATCCTCCACGTGGTGAATTCTGTGACGGTGGCCTCCACCTGTCCTCTCACATACTGGAGACTCTGGATTACAGCTGGTTGGTTGTCTGGAGTGCCGACACACACATCTGAGGTGAAGATCTGCTCCACAATGGGCATCTGAGCCCCTATAGCTCCCAGACGGTTGAAGGCCGAACAGCATTCGGTAAAGTAGTTCCTGTGGGAAACAGCAGTGCTGTTGCAACCGTTTTGTATTTGTTGCTGTAATGTTAGACTTGAAAAACGCCAGACAATAATGTCTTACCATGTATGAAGAACACCATCAGAGATTGGCTGTGCTGCACAGTCCAGCTCCACCTTCAGGCTCTGCGTCTGCTCCAGCATTGTAGTGACACGCTGATGTAGTTGGCACCATGCAGCGTCACCCCTCCTCATCAAGCAGCCAGGGGGTTGTCGCTGCGCTGCCAGTGGGGATGGACACCTCAGGGTGTGCTGCTTGCAGCTGCTCACCTCCTCCTTCTGAAGGTCTTCGGGGCAGCAGTGCAGCAACCAGGCCAGCTGCTGCAAAAGGGTATTACACTGGGCTGCGAGCGCTTGGCCCCTCTTCACCCAGTCCTGGAGAGAGGCTTGGGGTGGGAGGGTGCAGCCTGGCTCCTCACTCTGGCTTTGTAGGTAGGCCTTGATGCCCTGGACATTGTCAGTTAGCCTCCTGGGTGAAGTGATAACAATTAAGTTAGATGCTGCAAAGTTTCCATGGCAACATCTTATTTTTTTAGTTTGATATAAAACATAAATCTAAAAAGAAATAGTAATGGTGTTCTGACTGAATAGCCTGTGATGCACCTGTGCCACAGCAGCCTTTACTTCTAAAAGCAAACCTACACTTTGACATATAATGTTATACTAGCGTACTGACCTGAGATGGACCCATTGTTCAATGAGTTTGGCCAGCCGTCGCCTCTGTTTGAGGAGCAGCTTGAAGAGGTGAGAGGAGAAACCCCTGCATCGCTCTACATTCCCCAGACCCAGCTCCTACAGCAAACATTGACACACATGCATCACAATGAAGATAACACATGCTAAACTTTAAGTTCCTCATTGTGATGCTTGATTTTCATCTAGTTCATAGGTACAAGTGTAAGTTGTGCATGTCGCACCTTAGCAGCGTGCTGCAAAGCAGTCTGCAGGGCAGTGTTCCTGGCCCAAGACTGATAGAAGTACTTCTGACAGCCGTCCCATGCTGTCAGCAACTCAGCAAACAACCTACAATAGGAAAAAAGAGAAAACAGTGCCTCACTGCAAAACCAGAGCATGTCCACACAATTACAGGCGACGCTGTAGTTGGCCTTTTAATCTCTTCATTGTGCCGTATGTCACTGGCCATCTGTTCTGTAAAGCAATAGCTAGCTACATGTGTTGCTTGTTTGATAGAATCCATCCACACACTTCACGATTACATCTGTTCTTGAGTGTTGGAGTGTAATTCGTTTAATGTTGAGGTAACTACTGAAATATTAAAATCTACATTAATATTGTGGCTTACTTCTGTGTTTGTTTTAAGAACTTCAAAATAAAAGCACTGTTGCATGACAGAAAGATTAACCCTCATGCAGCGCACGAGGCACTGATTCAGAACAAGGCCTCTGTAAATAAGTTGTAATTACATGCTCTCTGCATTCTCCTGAGTCTTGACAGCTGAGAGAGCGGTCGTCATCTCCAGCGGCTGCATGTACAGAGCCTTCTCTGCATATGCTGTCCTGTTCCATATTAGGCCTTTGCGGTACGACAGACCTTAAAAGCCAATCATACAGAAAAAAAAATTAATTCTATTTAAAAAAAAAAAAAGTATAGAAGTTAATTGAAAATGTAAGTCAGTGTGGGGAACCGACCTATTTCTGTGAGCATCTTGAACAGGTCAGACAATGCCCTCTGTTTCTGCTGTAGGATGTGCTTTATCTCAGCTTTCTGCTTGTCTTTATCTGCTGATGTGTTTATTGTGAGGCTCTGCAGGTCCCGCAAGTTGCTGATGACCTCGCCTGAAAGAAAAAATATTTATAAAGATTTTTTTTTTTTTTTTACATTTACAGTATATATAAATAAAGGTTCACACACACACAGTCCATTTAGCTGGATTTGAGCAGACAGTATGTCTGAACACCTCAGCATTTGTTTGGCTTTTTCTGTCACATCATCAATAAACACTAGTGTTCCAGTGTCACTGGCAGCCATGCACGTCCAAGCCATCACACTGTCTCTGCCGTGTTTTACAGATGATGTGGTGTGCTTTAGATCATGAGCTGCTCCATGCCTTCTCCATACATTTTTCTTGCCATCATTCTAGTAGAGGTTAATCTTGGTTTCATCTGTCCAATCAATGTTTTTTAGACGTTTTTTAATTTTTTTTTTTTAACAAAGTTCATTCTAGCCTTTCTGTTCTAATGGTGGTGCGTGCGGTGCTGAAGCCTGACCTTCCATGATGGTTCCTGACTGCTCCTCTTCTGCTGCCTGAGGTATCTTTTATCCTCAGTAATTTCAAGCTAATCTTTTCCCCACTTTGTTATTATGAGGTATTGTGTACTGAATTTTAGAGATCAATAATGAATTTAATCCATTTTGGAATAAGTGTGTAACAAAACAAAAATATGGAGCATGTGAAGCACTCAGGCATTTACAAGAATATTCAGGTGTATGTTAACACAATGTCATATTTTTCCCAGAAAACAACATCCTAAGATCCCGAGGTCAATGTGGTGGCTGTAACTCAGAACGCAGAGCTAATGTACTAATCGGAAGGTTGGGGGTTGCCAGACAAGGGAAGGACAATGAAATGAAGACACTATTAGAGTATAAAAGTGCCTACAAAAAACCCCAAAACAAAACAAACAATAAAAAAATAAAAAAAACACAACAAGAAGGGAATCGTATAAGTTGCTTGGAAGAAATAATATGTAAGCACGGCTCATCTCTGCAAAGTTGCCAAACCATGTTTGGTGAAAACTAAACGTATCCGAGCCATGCAACATAACAGTGACTCCAAGCACAGCACCAATCTACAGAATAATGATTCTGGTGGTTGTTGGTTTAGTTAAAATCCAGACTTCAATCCTTAAGACAGCTGTGCATAAATAAACCCACCAACCTTGATGAACTGCACCAAAATTCCTCCACAACATTTTGAGAGAATAGTAGTCCAACTGAAAACGGCTACTCGTCAAGGTTCTTGCTGCTTAAGGTGTTTCCACAATTTATCCAATTAGATGTACTTTTTTGTCGTTTTTCAAAGGACTTCATAGAGTGCTTACATGACTGCAGTTGTAGCCTGCAGTAGTAGGCTTCAGTAATCTATACTCTAATGTCAGGACAGTCACAGGATGGTGTCGAGTCCAACAACATAACTGAATTATTTCAATTGTGATTTTAACTATCCAGCAGTAGCTTTCTCACCAGTGAAGCAGTCCAAGTCTTCAGCCAGCTCAGGGACAGGGTTTTTCTTCAGCAGCTGGATGCACATCTTCTTCATCTTCCTGGACAGTACAGGCAGAGATATTTGTAGAGAAGAAGCTTTGAATCCTTCTTCTTCTTCTCCATCAGTCTAAAATATAAAAACATAGTTGAGTGATTAAAAAAAAATGTTGAAAGAGAAAATTAAAGACACTGTGTGTTCTGTGAGATCTGTACCTGTAGAATCCTGCACTTTAAAGGCAGGGTGCTCTTTAGCAACTGGTGAACTCTGTGGATGGGCATTTCCTGTGGGTTAGCGTCCACACTGTCCAAGCTCGCGCCGCTTCCCTGCTCCACCAGAGCAGGAATACTCGGACCATTCAAAGCCTCTTCAAACTGCTTGATAAACTTGAAGAGTGTACTGAAAATCATAAGGTGATTACCATTAAAGCAGTCATTTATATATTGTTACACTTGGCTGAGGCTCAACTATCTTGACTTGCTACAGGTCAAGATCATTGTGGTCAACTAAAACTAAAATTAAAATCTGGTGCAACAAACATTTTAGTCAACCAAATAAATAAGACCCCACTAACATTTGCACTTAAAAAAAAAAAAAAAAAAAAAAAAAAAAACAACTTAAAAAACTGTAATAAAAATATGTATCAAATGTGTTTAGTTTTATTAATCTAGATAACACTGCTTAACAGCCAGATGAGGCGACTCTTGTTCATACTGATTTAGGATGTCCACACGAATCAATTCACATTGTTGTGTCTACTGGAATACTGAACCTTCCAACTTCTTGGAAGCTATTATTTAAACAGTAAAAATGAAACTGAAACTAGACACCTGAACCTGGAAGCTAACTGTGAAACAAATGCCGGCCACATACCGATGGGTCTTCTCCACTGACTGTTTGATGGACCAAAAATTGACATCATTCCATTTGCAGATCTTGACAAAGTCCTAAGAATACAAATTCATATGTAAGACAATGACAGAAAACTTTGCAGTGAAGTTCAGAGATTCAGAGGCAAGTTTGAATAAGTGTTAAGAGTTTGATAAGATTTATAGGGATATACCTTGAGGTCCTTTTCAATGGTCTGCCTGTGTTGAGTAATTTTGGTTTGAATGCCTTGAGAAAACTGATTGTAGTATTTGTACAGGTTCCAGAGAAGACTGGACAAAGGCTCTGTAAAAGCAAGCAGTACTGTGTCAGAATAAACTCAAGTACATGTTAAATGACACCTGAGATAAAAACAAAGTCCACGGTGATGTGAAATGTGTGATTTCGAAATTTCAGCAAAAGGCCGTTTCAGTGCTGGTCCAGTAAGCAGGTCTGAATGTGTAGTGTACAGGAAACAGCAGTGATAGCTGACCTTGCCCGGACTGCGGGGGGACCAGCAGGAGGTGGCAGTGGAATGTGAGCAACATGTTCAGACGAGTGTGGAACTCCCCCAGGGTGGAGCCCTCCAGAAAGGCCTGAAGGGTGGAGGACACTGAAGACAGGGAAAGGTGTTCTACCCCTTCAGCTGGAGAGGAAGACAATAATAAATATCTCTTGGCATCCTTTATTTCCTTGTGCTTTAAATTTGAAAGTTTGAAGTTAAATGCACCAGTATTTTCTGCAGTTTGCATCTCACAGAAATACAGACAGAGAAGCAGAGATAGATCCTCGCTTCCCTTCAGCTGATAAAATTTACACCTTTAATCTGATATTCACCCCCCCCCAGAAGATTTATTTTTATTTTATTATATTAATTTTTAATTAATTAACACCTTTAATAAGACCACCACACTGAGTCAGCACACACAGATTTGTTAGCTTGTACCTGTACAAGTCTCCGTCCTCTGTTCCTCTAGGTATCGCTCCAGCAGCTGGTAGACAGAGAACCAGTGTTTGGTGGACTTCTCTGTGTGACGCTTCATTGCATTGTCAAGACTGCGCGACCAACAACTACAACACAAAAACCAGAGTTAAAAAGCTCCTTATCACAGTGCTTAATTTATGAGCTAGTTAGTGATTGGTTTATATCCAAAAAGTAACAAGTGAATGGATTTATTCATCTTTGTCTTACCTGAGCTCCAGCTTGCGCCACTGAATAATGAGCTGTGTGACGGGTTCCAGTTCCTTCCGCAGAGACACTGAACGGCTGGCGTTATTCTCCCAGTCCTAATGAGGGGAGCAAGGAAAATCAAAGAAAACAGAAATAGATGAGCCCTGTACAATAGGCTCATTTGGATGACCCAATGTCTGCTATTGATGGGCCTCGTTTACTAAAGTATGTAGCAAAATTATTGCTATATGTTTACAAAAAAAAAAAGGAGCGGCTGTGTCAAGTTACAAATGAAATGTGCTGACAGACAGAGGGGTAAAAATGAAAGGTCATCAGACCGTAAGAAGAATAATTAAAAAAAAAAAAAAATGGTGGGTGACAAAGAGCAGTTATAAAAAGAAATTCACTGCAATATCAAAAATACTGGTGGCTGCCAGCGCTACCTCACAGCCTCATATATCTCTCGAGATAGAGAGATAGAGAGATAGAGAGATAGATAGATAGATAGATAGATAGATATATATATATATATATATATATATATATATATATATATATATATTCCTCTCGCACTCAACAATCCTTCTCCTATCGCACTTGGGGCTATGTACCCAATCTCGGGTGGGGGTGATGATATCGCCCCCCTGACCTGGCGTCCTGGCTCCTCCTTGCCGTAGCATTTGTGTTGTACCTCGTCAATCTCTAGCTGTGAGAGCAGTCCCTTCTTTCGAATGTTGGAACACTGAGCTACTAGTTGTTTCGCCGTCATTGTGGATGTTGGGTATCGAAGAATCCATAGGTCCCTCATCCTATTCATGTAGCCCCTTCCGCCGGGGTTACTTGCGTAGTAGCATTCCGATCGATCGATCGATATATATATATATATATAGATATATATAGATATAGATATATATAGATATATATCTCTATATAGATATATATAGATATATATATAGATATATATATAGATATATATATATAGATATATATATAGATATATGCATGCATGAGTTTACGCAGAGATTTGTACATGAGGCACACTGTCACTCATTTCTTTTACAGAAAATCAACACTTCTTGGTACTGAGGGTGCGTGATTCAGGAGATCTCTTCCTGACAGAAGTCACCTGTGCTTTGCTGAGCAGGATCTCTAGGCCGTTCAGAAACTTAGCCACCGGGCTGGCCAGATTGAAAGCCTTGATTCTCTCCATCACCACATTCAGCTGAAAACACCACATACACATACAGGAATATATGTCAGAAAAACAGAACAAAGTGTAACTGTTGGGATTCTTTACACTGTCCCTGTGAAAGCTGAATTAATGAATATGTATTTATTTGAATCACAATTATGCAAAAATGCTGTATCGAAACCACTTATGGCAAACTTACCTGTTCGAGGGCAGGGTGTCCAGGCCAGTCCTCTAGTCTCTGCTTCACTGCCACACTCAACTGTTCCAACACAGGGAGACAGAGAGAGGCCTCGCTCATGTTAGGGTGCTGGTAGAAGTCATAGGGTCCATCAGGGGTGATGGCCAGACCCTCGCCACCACCAGAGCCCTGCACAGTGTTCTGGAGGATGGCAGAGAGCAGCAGTTCACTGCCTGTCAGCTGCTGGTCCAGGTCAGAGTCTGAAGGGGGAAACAGAGGTTTATACAAGTACACTGGAACTTTGTTACAAGAAAAGGATGCATACAGGCAAAGTTACTAACCAATGAGGTGATAGAAGTGTGACATCACTGGAGAAGCAATCTGATAAGACGAAAGCAGGGCTTTGATGTGTTCTTTACTGTGATTGGCTGGTGCTGTGCTCTTGTACCAAAGCGATTGAGCATATCCCAGACACAGGCGCTGATGAACCTGGATCACTGTATTCAGGGTAGCGGGAGAGAACGCCTTCATCTCAAAAGACTCTTCGGGGGTTTTGTCTTCGAGCCCTTCTAGACTTGTGCCAGCTGCTCCTTCTAAACTTGGCTCAGACACGATGTCTGCAAAGTCCTGGATTCAATATCGACAGAAATTGAGCTTCAAGTGGATATTTATGCTTTCCACATGCAAACAGCTTTTATTTCATTTGGCCTTAAAATATAAAAATGATTGTACTAGATCGTCACCATATGATCCAATATGAGATATGATGGTTAACGTTAGGATCGGATAATCAGAGAATTGATGGGTCATTATTTGCTGTACAACAGCTGTACTGCAGTACCTTGTTGAACTGAGGAAACTGTCGTCTGAAGTCTCGCTCCTCCTGTTCATCCTCAGTCAGTCCTGAGCCGTGCAGTCGGCTACGGCTGCGGTAAAGACTGGCCTCCATTTCTTCATGCTCTTTCCTTCGCCTCTCTCGCTCATCCCACTCATTCACCAAAGCCTGTAAAGAATGACAATAGAAGGAGCAAAGGAAGAGCAGATTTTGCAGGATTTAACAGTTTGGAACAGAAAACTATTTAGATTTATTTAAAGTCATTAGGATGACATCTCTCCCAGTGAAAAGTCTTAAAATCCTGACCTGACAGATGTGTCTGAAGATGCTGCGTGCCTCGTGGCTGAACTCTCCCGTTGACAAGGTGTGACACTGGACATAAAGCAGAGCACTGAGTAGCAGAGTGCAGGACTGAGGCATCACACATGCAGTGTCCTGCTGGGGCAGAAGTTTCACCAGGCTGCGCAGAGTGTCCATACAAACCCTGGAACACAGAAAGTCTGCCCGGACAAGGTACGACGGCAGGCTCGGGGACAGGAATGGGAAAGCCAGAAGGCAAGACACCAGCCTTGGCAAACCAGGTACAGGATTTAGCAAGGCAGCCACCTGGGAGGCTACCAGCCTCATACCGTACCGGAGCTGAAGGATACCCGTCCTCACTGGCCCAACAACATCAGGATAAAGGGGATAGTCCTCCAGCAACCTCTGGCAGAAACGCTGCTGGGAGTTCTGCCAAACAGCCTCCTCCTTCAGGACGGCCTGGACTGCTGACTTGGATTTTGAAGCCGAGGAGCCCTCCAGCGTATTGAGCAGCTGGGACAGCAGGTCCTGTATGGCTGATGTCTGACCAATGCTGCACAGGTAGTGCTGGAGCTCCTGGTACAACTGACCATACTGAGGCTCATGAGGACGACAAGCCTGCTTCCTGGAAAGCTCAGCTATCTGCTCCTTCACCTGCTGCATGCGGATCCATAGATACCTAGTAAAGCAAACATCAGGCAGTATAACCTAGAGCTCATTGCATTGCTTCTCAAAGACCTTTTATGGTGGTATTAATGACTCTTTCAAAATGACAGCCTTTGTTTGCTTTTAAAAGTTAATCTTCTTAACAGCGGCTGGTTGTCATTTCATCCAAACGCACAGTAAACATTTGGCTCAAGAGTCCTTAAATTTGCTTAACTACAACTTAAAGTTTGAGAACCCCACAGAATTACTAGTATTTCTAAATGCGTCACTGCCGCTAGAATTAAAAAAAAACAAAAAAAAACCAGAATCAAATTAATGCACAATGACCAATTATATCAACTCCATTCCCACAGTAAAATCTTCAGAGAGGAATGGGAGTAGTTCTGATTTTCCCTGTGACTTTGATGCAACCGTGACATGCTGAGAGATCAGCATCCAACTCTTACCTGATTCGAGGATGCTGGAAGCCATCAGTTGTGCTGCTCTCCTCCAGTTCTGCTCCGGTCATCAGCTGAGACCACAGGCTCCGCCCTTTCCATTCTTCCTGAAGCAGAGCCAACTGCGACAGACAAAAACAGAGTACTTTTGAGTGTTTTATTGTAGAAAGTACTCTTCATCCACCACATTCCATCCTCTAAAAAAAAAACCTCATCAGAAAATAACATGTTTGAACATGATCTTATAGTGAACTTGGAGTTTATTGTTCAAACCAGAAGACCTCATGTTTTCTTCTAAAGCAGTCTGAAAAGAAAAGGTTACCTTTTTAAAGAAAATTACTTACAATGAACACTACTGTTACATTCACATGAAGCCAATGGTTGTGTGTATTTATACTGACTCAGTTACAAACACTTTACACCTTTGTCAGGAGAGTACTACAGACCTCCTGCTGAGCATAGTTCAGTTTGTAGGCTCTCTTTACAGCTGGGTCAAAGATGGTCTGCGGTGTCCACACTTTGATCTGCAGCAAGCCCATGTTGACCCAGAACACTCCAGAGCGAGCCAGTGAATTGGAGCCTTGGACTTTGCTCTGGACATATTGCTGCAAGCAGGTAAGGCAGGCTTCCACCAGGCCATCAGGGAGTAGTTTAGGAGGCAGGAAGTCTCTAAAGACCGTCTGGATCTCCTGGGCAGCAATAAGAGGGTCAGGGTCTTCCACCAGGCTCTCACAGCTCTCCATGTAGCCTTCCTGCAAGGTGGGAGGCAGCACGTCAGCCATGCTTTGAAGTTGCCGACGCAGGACTGCACCTTGGAGCCTAAAGTCAGTACCCCTGAGGAGAGATAATGCAACTGTCATCAGCAAAGCCCAAAATAAAAATTGCTGGTTAAGGACATTTAATGTTCCATTATACCTGAAATCAGCCAGCGCACGGATGCTCATGTTGTCCCAGAGCACAGCAGAAAGATCCTGCAGCTGCTGAATCCTCCCTTTCCAATCCCCAAGTCTGACATTGGAGAGGGAGAGAAAAGCCTCTCCTGAAGGTTCCCATGAACCACCCGTCTTACTACAGCTGAGCACTTCCAGTACGCAATGGGACCGCACTGCTTTGCTCAGCAGAGCTGGACCCTGGAAACCATATTGCATAAATGTATTAAACAAGCAGAAAACCAGCAGTGTTTGTGGAACAGCGAGTTTGGAGATATTAATAGATGTTACCAGGTTATCTGTTCCTTGGTGCTGCTTTGGATCCGCCTGGGTCTCAGGATGTAGAGGGTCCCATTTAAGCCAGTGTTCTGGGTTTGAGGTTATGCTGCAGGTCCACAGGGAGGATAGAGCCTCCGACAGGAGCTCACACCAAACAAACGGCAGCTCCTCAGCTGGCTGGAAGATAACACATATTTCAGCTTTAAATGGGGATTTTCGTTTGAAAGGCTAACTTCTGGACATGAAATGTCCCGTGTGAGAAATGTGAGTAAAACTGTTCTCAGCAATTGGTTCTTAATGTTTCAACCAGATATAAGTTGAACAGTTGTGATGTAACAAACTCTTTTAGCCGAATATCAACATTTTATATGTGGTCAAACTCATAACTACTGACCCGGTCACTACTGAGCAGGAACCACAGTGGCTGCAGCTGTCTGACATTCATCGGGGTGGACTGGAGGCAGTAACGAAGATGTCTGGAGAGGTCGCGACGTATGCAGTCCTCGGCCTCCTGGTCACTGCAGGTCAACATGAGGAGTTCAGTATACAGTCCATCAACAACATCCAGAACAGGTGCTTTTCTATTTTTGATTACACGACAAAGATGAGCCTTACCTAGGAGAAAGAGCTAGATGCAGCAAGTCTGTGCTAAGTCGTAGCTGATTTAGGACGGCAAGTTCCTCCATCAGGGGCCAGAGCTGGGCCCTGCGGCTGAGCTGCTGCAACTCCTCTACGGACAAAGGGACTCCGTCTGTGGACTCGTCATGCTCCGACATGGAACAGACTTCCAAGAGCCCTCTGGAGGTCATGCAACACTCCTGCTGCTCCACACTCGACACCAACCTCTCCATCACCCCTTATGGGAAGACATATGGGACGCATGCCATCATGTAATGTTTCACATTCATGCTCCTGAATGTTTTAATACCAAATGGTATTTCTAAAAGATTTATATTGTATTTAGTTGAGAATCTTGAAGCAACTCTCTAGATTCCAGAAAACTTGTTCAACAAAATCTGACTCTAAAAATAAAGTTCAAGATCAACTCCGAGATGGCAACTGAACTTTCCTGTTTCAGCACAGATGATCAAAGTAAATTCAGTAAGCCGAGCATGTGAGTTAAGCACACAGAAACAAAGCCATCATCAACGGAGCTCCAGAAACATGGAGGCTGTACAGATTGTATTCTGATTCTGACGAGATATCTGTGATGTAATCACAGTCACTGTTTTTATATATTGAAAGTATATAAGAATCTTATTCTGAGTCCCATAAATATCCAACAATCACATTTTATGGCAAAAGCTTTTCTGCAACTCAAGCTCACCTGACTTTTGAGGGTCCAACTGGTTGTTTGCTAAGAGAATGAGGCCCCAGGCTTCCAGGAGACTTTCTTTGATGTCCAGTCCGAGTCCAGCACCCTGAAGTCGAACCAGCTCTTGCTTCGAATGAATCATGTTGTTGTCCAGTTTTAGATCACTCACATCCAGGGCTTTACTCAGGAGCCTGAGCTGAGATGCACACTTAACTACTGACTCCAGCTGAAAAGACAGATGGATATAGTTTCATCTCATAAATATAAGAACATAAAAGAGTGAGTGACAGATGGTACTTAAACTGGCTTTTATATTACTTTATTATTAGACCTAGCTGATGAATTATATCCAGACCTTAAAAGGAAGAGTTTTCCCCAGGGTTTTCTGAATGCCCTTCAGAGCTGTAGCTACAGACACTGGGGCGGACAGAACAGTCTGGATGGCTGTTGAGGTGGCCTGCAGCTCCTGGTGACCTCTATTTTTAGAACAACAATTTCAGAAGAAAGTACTTCAGACTAAATAAAAATACATATACAAATACAAAATACTTGTATAAATGATACAAGTATTTGCAAGAAAGGGATTTACTCAAACGTGACATCAGCGTCTCCCAGGAGAAGCTGTGGCAGTCGGAGGATGAGGTGTTTCTGGACCCACTGCCAGTGCAGAGACAGCACAGAGATGCCCTTAGAGTCGGGCGTCAGTGTGCTGCACACATCCCAGAATCGATCGAGCCACTGTAGCAGCTGCAGAATCTAAACGCACAATGACAGTGTTGCAGTTGGAGACCATTCTTGTCAAATTTTAAGGTTTTATTTAAATAAAAGAAGAAATACAAAAGAGTAGATTAAAGAGTCAGATAGCGTTCTAACCTCAAACATAATGTGGTCTGAGATGTAAGGTTGTCCGGTCTGAACAGCCTGCAGGATGAAGTAGCCCCACAACTCAAAGAAGGTTTGCAGGTGCATCAGCACAGGGTGTGGCAGGTGACCAATATCCACAGTCCCTGTGAGGAGGATTTGGGTATTTGTTAACTTTTAGAAGCACTAAATTATATTCTAATATAAAAACCAAAGTGCATACCTTTACTGAAGGCCGTGGCTATTTGCAGTACAGAATTCGGACCAGACAGGTTGACAGCGCAAGTGCATACAACAGACCTCTCTTCTCTGTCCATCATCAGAACGATCCTAACACACAAACCGCTCATTAGCAGTCCATTTGTTAACACAGCAGATCTGCATAACTTGATATAAGACTCGGAATTAAGAGAATAGATAACAATTAGTCCCACCTGTTGGCAACTGCGTTTAGTGCCTCTAGGAACTCCGTGTATCTTTCTTCATCCTCAAAGTTGCACTTGTTGGCCAAAATGTCCAAGTATTGCTTATTCCACCGCATATCCACCAAAATCCTGTATTCATCTGGCAACACAACATTTGTTTAGATGTTATCATTTACTGATAGATACATTCAGTTTTCTTGAAGTTTTCCTAAAGTCATCTAGTAGCAGAAACAGGCAGTAAATTAAAAAACAAACAAACAAAAAAACTTTTATTAAAACTTCAATATTCTAGTGTGCGAATAGATTTCACTTTTCTTTCACCGAAGAACAAGAAAACTGTTTACCTGTGCTGTGGGGCTGGAGTAATTCTGCTAGTGACTTGCCCTTAGCGGCAAGCTTGCTACCAAACACAGCCTTTAAAGCCCTGTTTCCTGCTTCCACCTGGACCAGCGCGGCATCTGTAAGAGTAAACCATCACATTATCAGGGGATCTGCAGCACTGAATAGCCCTGCCATCGATTTGCAAAACAATTTAATTTGACTTTTTGACATTAACTTTGTTTCGAAGAATAAAGCACCTTTGCTGTAGTCTAAATGTTTGGGTTGTTGTGTGTAGTGTAGTTTGTTTGCACTGTAACAAACCAGGAGCATATTTGTGGCTCTTTCCCAAGTGTGACAGCCAGCTGCTGCGCATGATCCAGTCTCCGTGAGAGGCTCTCTCTGTGAGCAGTCTCACTGCCGTGGGGATCAGCCTCAGAGCATTTCCATCCTCCAAACCCCCCACTGCTTCAGAGAACACCAGGCCTTCATGGACACCGCTGTTCTGCAATACCCTCTGTAGGTCACTCAGACTCAGAGGCTGGCTCCTGCAGAAATAAAACTTATGTAATCACTTCTTTAATGAGAAAATGTATGATTTAGCTGGCGTGACTAATTGATTTACCGTTTGCCTTGGAGGCTGAGTGTGTTCAGACAAAATAAGAGGACCTGTCCATCTCTGATAACAGTAGAGAAGCAGGAATCCTCTGTAGAGAGGAGGGCAGAGGGGAAGCTGTCAGGCCAGACTCCAGCACACAGCAACCCACAGCCCCATTCTTCTGTGTCCAGGATGCTCAAGTGCTGCTCAATCACCTGCTGGGCTTTCTAGGAAGAAAATGTACTCATGTTTATTCATCCTTTATGAAGGCTGACCATTTCAAATATTTCAGGTTATCCAGAGTTTCCCCTGATTTTCAGTGGCCTATCAGGGTTGTTGAAGGGTGGTGGTGTCCACCCTTGACTGCATTTAGCTGGATCTGAACAGACAGTATGTCTCTGAACACCTCAGAATTCATCGGGCTACTTTTGTTCTAATCACTAGTCTCCCAGTGTTGCTGGCAGCCATGCATGCCCAAGTCATCACACTGGCTCTGCCGTGTTTTACAGATGATGTGATACGGGCTGTTCTACCTTCTCCATACTTTTTTCTTTCCATCATTCTGGTAGAGGTTAATATTGGTTTCATCTGTCCAATGAATGTTTTTCCAGAACTATGCCAGCTTTTTTTTTAAAAGCAAAAGTCCAATCTAGTGACCAATCAAGTGGCTTGTATCTTGCAGCGAGCCCTCTGTATTTACTTTCATGCAGTCTTCTTTTAGGGTAGACTTGGATATTGATACGTCTACCTCCTGGAGAGTATTTGTTCATTTGCTTGGTTGTTGTTGCCTGTTGAGAACGGGTTTCTCTTCACCATGGAAATGATTCTGCGATCATCCACCACTGTTGTCTCCCATGGAGTTCACCAGTGCTTTCTTTCTCAGGATGTACCAAACCGCAGATTTTGCCACTCCTAATATTGTAGCAATTTTGCATTTTTCTTTTCTCAGCTTAAGGATGGTTTGTTTCACCTGCATGGAGAGCTTCTATCTATCTATCTATCTATCTAGATATAGAAAAGGTAGATAGATATGGATTCCTATACAATATGGAGAGATCGATAAAGAGATATATCTTGAAAAAAAACATAACAAAAAAATACCTTCTGGTTGGCAGAATTGTGCTGACAGAAAGAGTAGGCCTCCCCACAGGCATGCTGCAAGGCGCTAGGCAAATCCACACCTCTCTGTAGCTGGCAGCTCAGCAGAGTGGCAGCATGAAGAAGAGAAGCCACTGATGAGGCTGGGGAGTCTAACAGGCAGAGGCCAAATGCTTTGATAACTGCTACAGACAAACCGAGGGCTTATTTATTTATTCTTATGCTGTTAGCACTTACCCCAGATAGCAGATTTAACGGCCTTATGTATTTCAATCAGCAGATCACACACACAGTCCCCGGTCACCCCAGCAGTGTGAAGCAAAATCTTTAGGTCTAGTGTGTCCCAGCACACAGCTTCGTGTTCCCCTGGAATGTAAATCTCCACCCCTCTGTTCCTCATAGCTCTGGAGAGCTCCCCGTGCACAGGATCCATGGTCAGGAACAACCTGGGAAGAAAAACAAACAAACAAACAAAAACACAAAACACACATCTAAGAACTGTTGATGAATGGTAAATGGCCTGTATTTGTATAGCGCTTTTACTAGTCCCCCCTAAGGACCCCAAAGCGCTTTACACACCCAGTCATCCACCCATTCACTCACTGGTGGAGGCAAGCTACAGTTGTAGCCACTGCTGCCCTGGGGCAGACTGACATTAGTGAATGCAACAAACCAGTGATAGTTGTACTTTTTTATACTACCTGAAGTTAGGGTGTGGGGTGATTTTGGGAGTGCTCCCATCTATGACACCACGTTCGTTGATGACGAGTGATCCACCAGGTTCCAGCAGAGCATTGAGGCGATCCAGCACTGAGGCACTAATTACATAAATGCACAATCAGTGCAGTTGGTTATAGTGTTCGTGTCACGGCTGACTTTTATACAACTACAGTTCTTGCTTCACATTTCACAAGTAAAACATGTTTAAGATGAGGGAGAACACAGTTACACATAAGCTAACATTTCTCACTTGCAGAAGTTGACGTTGTCCATAAGCAACCAGTCGCCAGACTGAAGGGCCTGGACGAGCATACCATCCAACCACTCAAAACCTCCGTTTGTCCAGCCGTCCTCCAGCTGAGCCAGACGCTCCTTCAGCAGCGTAAAGTCCATCTGAAGCTTAGACATGTCTGAGGACAATACATGTAATGTTATAATATTTTACATACTTGACCAGCAAAAAAACAACAACCAAAAAACAAAACAAAACAAGACACTTGAAACTGTTCCCTTTATATTTTGTCTGTACTCAATAATTGGTTGTTACCAGTGAACACTTTGAGTTTGGTGTTGAGTTTCTGCAGCAGGAGGATGATAACCTCCAGCTTGTTCAGTGCCTCAGAGTTGATTGTTCCTCCAGTTCTTTGCAGTCCTTCCTGCTTCAGCCAATGGCAGAACAGGCCCCATGTCTGCAGCAAGAACTCTGTGTCCTGGATGCCACCATCAAGTGACATCAATCCACGCCTTATTACCATGGCAACTATGTAATCTACACTCTCCAGAACTTGCTGCCACGGGCGCATGATATCCACCTGCAATGAGGAAAAAAGGGAAAGACCGCAGGATGACGTGGTCTGCTATTTTCAGGTTATAAACAAAGACCTGAGTTCTCAGTGTCACCTGCTCAAAGCCTCCCAGTAGCTCTGTGGTGTCCATGGCACTGTTCATGGCCATGATTCTGAGGCGATGTCCAGTCAGTAGAGAGAGCAGTCTCACCAGGCTGGTCTTTCCACTTGCTGTGGGGCCGACCAGTATGGTCATCCAGCCCATCTCCACACACTTCATCAGGGACTCCAGAGGCCTTAAGCACTGATGTGTGATGGACAGCGGTGTGTCTGGAGCCACATTGGCTCCACCACTGCGATGCAGCACAGAGTAGCCCACCTGCAACAGCAAATGATTGGAGGGTAATTTGCAAACTATGATTTGAAATGAAATAAAACAAAACAAGTTTTATTGTTTTGACAAATCAACAAACCTGTAGGTTGAATGGAGTGATGTGGAACTCTCTGGGGCCGCAGTAAGGCTCAAAGTCCTCCCCAAACACCTTCCTGAACACAGACAGCACCTATACGGCACGGGAGGAGGTTCAGTATTGCCACTGGTCATGAACTAAAGTATAACTGACTCCCAGTACCTAATAACTGAACACAATTCAGTTCAGCCACCAGCAGCACAGTTTCCAACATGCTTCTGATAAGAGGTTTTTGCAGTGAAAGTCCTGCCATATTGGAGAACAGTCCTAGCCCCTCCTGACATGAATATCACCAAGCCAGCCAACTTGGTTTTAAGCTTCTGATAAAATCACAGTGGAGGTATTCCAATAGTGCTATTCGTTGCGATTTAATGTTCTTTTCTCTCCTTATAGGAAGTCAAACTGTTAGTCCGTAGGATATCGAGATATTTCAATAAGAGGAAATTCAAACTTGTAGTGGGCTAAACACAAACCCTTGTAGAACACCACATTTAACAGATTGAAAAGTCCAAAGTTACAGTTTCAGTACACTTGGCTTATGACAATGGAGTTTTCTTCCTCGTCTGAAGATATGCGATTCTAAATTGACTACATATGTGATAAGGAAAGAGCACTTAAACTGTACGTCATTCACATACTTAGCAGGCTATGAAAAAGCTGGTAAAACAGTTTACCTGAGCTTTATCAGACTCTGTTCTCATTCTGTCAGCATACACCAATGCCACATGCTGGCCTGGGTTAAAAAATCCAGGTGCTTGGTCAGCCTGCATAAGTTGACACCAACGGAACAAGTCACGCAGGTTGAACTCCCAGGGACTTCCTCTCTGACCCCAATGTCTGTCTTTACACACTTCCTGGACAAGCTGTGGAGAGAACACATTAAAAAAATGCATTAAAATAAAAAAGTATCCTTTAGTCTTTTCTTTATATTTTGTTACATACAGTGCACATACATTAATGCTTTTGTGCATTAAAAATAGCCAAAGTTTAAATAATGAGGTTAAATGATAAATGGTAAATGACCTGGAATCACCCAATGTGAATTGGGTGCACTATCCATGGACTGTCAGTGTGTAAATATTGATGACAAGACCCAGCAACAGCACACTCTTTAAAGAGTTTACTTGGTTGTTAAAAGGGATCAATCTCATGTAGGAGTGAGCGGTTTAGCCACTGCCAAGTTGACGTAAGCATCTGGTGAAGACCCATACTTTGGACAATGCCTCTATCTGGCAATAGAGCTCACTGCTGGCAGACGGGCACCCCTGGAGTGGAGTGGACAGTGAACACGCTACCTTTATGGAACCAAAAAACCACCTTTACATGCTTTCCAACCTGGCGCTATGATGAAGAGTAATAAACTGAAAGACGCAACCCACACTAGCATCTGGTGACCAAGGTGTAAAATGTGATTTTCAGTCCATCATGGATGGCATTTTCTCTGGTCTGGTGATGCATTATACCTAACACTCATCACTGTGAGAGATCCATGTCATATAACTCTAACATAACAGGAGGCTTGTTTATGTGATTTGATATTTCACAGAGACAAAAATGGTTTTGGAGTTTGAAATTCTCAAAACTGGACGACAACATCCAATTCAGAAAAGAATTCAGCAGATCAGTTTGCCTAGGTTTTCATGGCGGTATGCTTTAGATAATTCTGTTGAAATGTAAACCTCCACACAAGCCTGGAACCCTGAGCACTCAGTAAAGCGGACTGGATGGAGGGAACATATTGATGTGGTGACACTTACTGCAGGGTGTCCTCTAAAAAGAAAGCACACAGGAAATTACTGCCAGACAGTGCAATCCTGGTTTCACCAGAACAGATCAGGTTCATTTGAGCAAACTCTCATTAGGTCATCATGTCTTTTAGCAAGCAATTAGCCCACTTTTCCCTTAAAGCCTGAAGAAATGCACTGATGGATTTTGGCATAGACAAAATATAAGCATGGATCCATGCTAGCTTATCAATGGCACCCTGCTGGTGGCAGGGTAACAGCATGGAGATATTTCTTGACCTACACTTTGGGTGCTTTAGTACCAACTGACCATTGTTCACATGCCAAGCCTACCTGACTGTTGTTGATGAAAGAGACAATCGTCTCTGTCCACAGTGGACACATATTCTAAAGGTTGCTTCTAGCAAAGTAACACATCAAGTTGCAAAGCTCAAATCACTACAAACTAATTGTTTGACCATGAGAACGAGTTTGCTGTGCTCAAATAGGCTACACTGTCAATCCAATACAGCATCTTTGGGATGTGGGGGAACGGCAGATTTGCTTCATGGATGTGCAACCGACAAATAACAACCAACTGTGTGATGCTATTATACCAATATGGACCGGAAACTCTAAGGAATGTTTCCAGCACCTTTTTAAATCTATGCCACACAAAAATGAATCTAGTTTTGGAGGCAAAATGAGTCCAACCATGTTCTAGCATCATTGAAGTAAGTAGATATAATAAATGTGCGGAAAACCTAACAGAAACCAACAAAATAAAAGGAAAAGAGAAAAGCATACTGTGATGGCTGCACTTACAGCCACACAGTGGTAATACCCACCATGTTAGTGTAGAGGCTTATAAGTAACATTGCATTCACATTTCTTTCTTTAAATATATGAATTTATTTACAGGACAATAAATAACTGCTTTTGGTTTAGAATTCATTCACATATCCACATAACACTGCATTCTAAAATAAGTGCGCACATTTTAGTTTACACTGTTATGTATGATTAATCTTTTGTTTTCTGAGTTACCTTAGTTGCAGCTGTTCCAGTCCCTTGATTAAGGAGCCAAGAGGTGGAAAAGGGGCAGAGCGAGCTTTAAAGGAAGGCTACAAATTGGTTCACGCCATAATTCAGGACCGGGGGGAATTAGAGTTCATTATGTTTGGTTTAGTTAGGTTTTGTGTGTTTTACCCCTTCTCCTGTTTTTGTGGGCTGATCAGCCACTATTTAAGTTTCCCCTTTGTCTCATTAAGTTAGGTCAGTTTGTTTGTGTTATCGGTTGTGTTGTCAACGTTGAGTAGAGTTTTGTTAGTTTGACCTCTTTTATGGGCCCAAGATTTTGATTCTTTTTGCATGAGTTAACCAATTATGTTTTTTGGGTTAAATAAAAAAAGCATTTTTTGGACTTTAACCTGTGCCTAAGTTTCCTTCACTGCTCGGTCCATCACACATACCCTGTTACTGAATTCGACCATTTTGATAACAATTTCCTTGTCGATACTGGGAAAAATCAAGTCTCCTATGAACTCCATGTCCTTGCTGGTAAGCTGGTCCACAAAAACCTGGGAAGACAGGGCCAGATAAGAGTTCATGAAAAACAGCAACCAGAATATGAATGATGGAGTAGCTCATCTGGCTGATCCATCATAGTTCAGAGGTCATTTTAAGGTTACTTTGTAGAAATGGAGTGTTTTACAAAAACTGCCTACATTGTTTTTGCACAACTACACAACTTTTCTGAACAGGCACAGATGTCACCACTGTAGTTTTCACATGTTTATGGTGTGATAAGCAATCACAGTGACTGAAATTATTCACAAATAAAAAAACAAAAACAGCTGAAACCTGACACACCAAGTCTTCTTTTATCCCCTGCAACAAGCACATTATAAAAATCTTACTCTTAATTTTTAAGTGGATCTGGTCAACTAAATAACTGTCTATTAAGACTATTCTACCGCACATAAAAGCTTTTCTATGAAAATAAAAAAAATAAAATAAAAAAGCAAAAACCCTTAATCAGGTCTTACCTGAGTGAATCTGTTGAGGAAGGATTTGGGCAGCCCCTTACGCCCCCCACCTTGAGTGAAAGGGTTCTGGCATCCAAAGATCTTCGTCTTGTCATGCTGTACCTGAAAGCTCATGGCCAGTTCTGGAATGTAGATCTCTGCTCGGTGATCAAAGCAGGCATTAAGACCTTCCAGCACTGACTGAGAGGCCAAGTTCAACTATGATGGAAAAACACCAGTAATACAGCTGATCAGTCTAATCAGATTGTTTGGAGTTTGAAGAATGTTAGAGCAAAACTATAAAATCAGTGTACAAAACTGCAAGAGTGTTAAAAGAGTGATCCCTACCTCGTCCAGTACCACCCAGTGCCCTGCCTTCAAAGCAGCCAAAAGGGGGCCATCGCGCCACGCAAACTCTCCTCCCTTCCCACCCTCCACTGGGAGATCTGTCCCAAATAAATCGGTGACATCCTGCAGAGAGTGTATGTCATCATTACCAGAGGCTTTACAGTCAAGTTCAGAGCACAGTGCTGAGCATGTCAATTTACCGTTTGCTCCGACAGGTTGATTCTGACCAGATGGTTTCCAGAAGCTTTTGCTAGTGCAGCCACCAGGCTGGTTTTTCCCACGCCAGGTGAGCCCTCGAGGAGCACAGGCCTCTGCAGCTTCAGGGCCCGCAGAATCCTCTGAGCATTCACTGCAGTGGTGCCTGCTGCAATGGCGTAGTTTGACAGGTTACGGCTCTCGGTGTGAGGCCCTGGAAACAAAGGCATTATAAGACATTACGCAAACATCAGTGAACTCATCACAAGCACTTAAAGAGTTGTATGTGTGTTATCATGGAAGACAGGTCCACTGTACACTATCGGTCAAAAAGTTATTCTAGTTATTTATTACAATTCAAGTCATTCAAGTCAAATGAATAGCTTGAAATGGTACAAAGGTAAGTGGTGAACTAACTGCCAGAGGTTAAATAAAGAGGTAAGGATACCCAAAAGTGTAACATGATGTACATTTCAGAATGATACAAAAATGGAAGACAGACAGTCCATCATAACACTTATAAATGTAGGTGTTTCCTACAGAGAAACTGCAAACAAAGTCAAGGTGTCAGTGAGTACAGTTTCCTTCACCATTAAAAGGCACTCAAAAACAAACTCTGACAGGAGGAGGTTTGACAGACCCAAAGACATAACTGAATCAAGTTTCTGGGAGTTAACAGCTTGCATTGTCCAAGCTATGCCAGAACTGCCTCAGGAAAAAGAACAAGATGGTAAGCTTGAAAACATGGAGTGACCAGCACAGTCTCCAGACTTAAACCCCATGGAGATGGTTTGAGATGAACTGGACAGAAGAGTGAAAGCAAAGAAACCTACAAGTGCCACACATTTATGGGAACTTCTGCAACAGATATGGGAAGAACTTCTACTGGTTTTTATTGTAGAAAGAATGCTTTCAGCTGTTATATCTGCCAAAGGTGGTTACTTTGACGAGTCAAAAGTTTAGAATACATTTTGGTCTATAAATTGATTCCTCCAATCGCTTATTTGTACGATGCTTTCATTTCAGAGTGCAGTGAGACATCAAAGCGGCATCATTTTCAATAAAAAAAAAAACAAAAAAAAACAGGAAAAATGGGGTGTTCTAAAACTTTTGACCGGTAGTATACATGAGCATGTGTAGTTTCATGTACAGAAAGTCTTTGTAGAAGTGGTGCAGAACAGGATCCACATCTCGGAATAAAGCAGCTGTTCTAGAGCGGCAACTAGCCCGCTATGGGAGGACATAGAGCTACTGCATCACGTTGTACTGAACTTTATTGCACTAAAAACTCAGCTTGAATTAGATGACACACTTTTCCCAACACTGTTAATGATTAATAAAATTAAAAAATGGTGTGGATATGTCCAGGCTATTCTAGCCCAGTGATTCCTTAATAGTACATTAAGGAATCACTAAATGTATACCTAATGCGATGTAGAAGGGATCAATGCCAAAGAAATCTTCTCCCCACTGAGGCTCCCGTGGCAAATTGCTGTCATACACTCTCAGGGCATCCATTACATCCTGGTCCAGCTTGGTCATCTTGCTTAGTCTCTGCTGCAGGAAGCTCAAGCACAGACGACGAGCAAGGAGGACACCGTCTGCACAGGAGGCTGTGGTCCCTGCAAAGAAGCCAGAATGGATCTACCAACAATTTCTTTCAGTGCCAAACTTTCAGCAGAATTTAAACATAAGCCGTCAGCTCACCTGAGCCAATGCCATCGATATAAACGAGACAAGCAGCGTGGATGAAGGCGGTAACAGTGTCCAGACGCAGGTCCCACTCGGCTTCATCTTCGTCTTCAATAGCTCCCATGGTCATGAAGCTATCTTCATCCCGCTCGCACACAGCATTGAGGAAGTTGACCCATGAAAGAATGTCTCTAACACTCAGGATGCAGCGGCGGCCAAAGTCCTGCTGTGTGAGCCACTCGATGAAGTCCAGCATTAGCTCTGCAACATCCCCACCTGTGTTCAATTAAAAAGTTATATTCACCTGCTTGAAATCAGTCATTTTAATTATCACCTTCTTTAACATAACCTCTAATGAGAACTCAGTGGCAACAGCACACTATGGAAATTCCACATCTGCTACACAACTCGATATTCACTCTGGATTTTAGCTTTTCTTTATTCTCAAACTTCTGAGAAACGTGCATCTCTTTAAATGCTAAATAGTCTCCCATGTTCTAGACTCGAGGCTCTAACTACACCTGTTATACTGCTCAACAAAGTGTGTATTAGAGCTGTCTTTTTTAAAATGACTGCCTGCTACTGCTGGAAACAATGTGGAATTGTGGAGACAAACCAGAAGAATAAAACTGAAGTTAACTAAAAAACATCATACATGGTTCATAACATAAAAGTCAAACGCTTTTTAAACTATGCACTTGGTCATTTTAAACCCGGTGAACTGTAAATGGGTTACCATCAAGAGAGAGGCCTGAGCGCAAGTTGTGTTGGATGATCTTAACCAGGTCACTGCGATTGTTGGTCTGAGGGCACCAGATCTCTGTGAAACGATTTCTTAAGGCTGGAGAGAGCTGTGAAGAAACATACATGCACAAGTATAATCAGATAACACCTATGTAAAGTTCCATCTCACACCTTCAGCACATAAATAAGTCCATCATCATGACTTTGTGTTTCACCAGCCACTCTAGGTATAATATGTGCAATGTACAATAAAAGGCAAAGTTTAATGTTTGTGACAGATCTGTACAACAGGTCTAATTTCTGCAATATTCAGATATTTTGTGCAGTGTAATGCTGCATAAAATATGTGTGGTAGGTTTAAAATGTTCAATGCGTGTTTTCTGGGGCTGTGACTTGCAACAGTTCACGTGATGCGTTTGTGTCTTCTTTGTTTTTGTTCTATTATAAATGTGGAAGCAGCTATTTTGTGCAGCATCAAAGTCTAACAAAAACTTCCCTACAGGAAAAACAGTAGCTTGTACCATTTTGCATCATTTCATCACCTCTTTCTTGCCAAAGTCTCCTCCAGGGTTCATGGTGGCGACCAGACGGAAATTTGCAGCTGCTTTTATCAGCTCCACGTCACCACGATCTCCGCTGCCCTTCTCTGCCAATACAAGGGACTTCTCCGTCTCCAGAACACTGGTAGCAAACAAACACACTATCAAAGGTCAAAGCTTGTGCAGTGTTTTTAAAATTAAATGTTGGCAAGTTTACGCTCAGAGGAACTTTTCACATTCCAAAAAGTCAATTCTGTGCATTTCCTTACCTGGATGACTGAGCGTGCATCAAGACATAACTTTTCTTAAGTACCAAACAAGTGAACGCTACAACTACAAGCAATCGAGTGCAAATACAACTTAAGGTTGTATGTTAACAATGTTAACTTAAGACTTTTTGACCAACAGGACTCAGAAAGCTTGGGTCAACAACTCTCTTTCGGTTTCTGTTCCACCTCCACTGGCTCCCCCCAGGGCTGTGTGCTCTCCCCCTGCTCTTCATCCTCTACAGCGATGACTGCAGATCCACACAGCCCAACTGTCACCTGGTGAAATATGCTGACGACACAGTTCTCCTGTCACTGCTGTCAGGCCCCTCACAACACCACGGGCCCACTCTTCAGGAGTTTGTAGAGTGGTGTGACAGCTCCAAACTTAAACTGAACGTGAGCAAAACCAAAGAGATGGTGGTGACCTTCTCCAGTAGGCAGAGGGATCTGGCTGCTTCAGTCACCACCACCATCCACGGGAAACCAGTGGGGGTAGTTGAGGAGTACAAATACCTGGGAACCATCTTTGACAACCTCCTGAAATTCTCTGCTAACACAGAGGAGATTCTCAGGAGGTGCCACCAACAGCTATACCTCCTTAGGAAACTCAACTCCTTTGGAGTCAGCACACCCATCATGATGACTTTTTACTATGCCTTCCTGGAAAGCATCATGGCCTTCTCCATCACCTGCTGGTTCCACTCCCTCAGCCTTCAGAACAGGAACAGACTGCATCAGTGTGCTCTAAAATCATTGGCCTGCCTGTCAGAACGCTGGCACAGGTTTTCAGCCAACAGGCCCTTAGACAGGCAGCCAAAATCATCAACGACCCCTCTCATATTCTTCACCCCGCATTTCAATGGCTCCCCTCCACTGCATTTCCTGCAGGACTGAGAGGAGGAGAGCCACCTTTGTCCCCAAAGCCACTCTGCTTTTTAACTCCAGCCGATAAGATCATTTCCCACACCAGAAACATAAACTACACTCTTCTTATACTACCGACACTTTATTCACTTTTAGTCACATTACAGTTATTTATTCACCTTTCAGTCACTTTAATTTTAAAACTATGTAATTTTAAAACTGTGTATATACTGTATATTCTGTGTGTATTTATCTCACTCTTATTGCCTGCTTATGCCCTGTCCTTATCTTCAACGTCATGCTGCTCTGTTGTATCTTAATTGCTGATTCTGATTAAGATATAATGTTAATGCTATTTGTGAAAATACCCAAGATCCCAACATATCACTATTCTATCAGTATAATAAAGACATATTTATTCTGTTATGATCTTGCTAACTCTAATTTTCACAAAGCATTTTGGGCCACTTGATAAGGTTTTTTGTTTAATTGTTTAAGTTAATGTGTTAAGTACAAACAGCCTCCTATATAGCAACTTTTCAGTGGCAGAAAAAAAAAATACTGATTACTAGGTAAACTTCAATTTGCAGCATGTATAACATTCAGAACAAAATACTGCAAAATACTACTGTACAGTTTTTCTGTTTTCTAAAGCATCTAAACAGTTTTCTTCTTTTATTTTACTTTCTTAAGCTGCAGGGTTGTTGACCCTCAAGATAAGTGTAGATATGGAACATGTATATTTTGTGTGGGTACCTGTTGAGTCTCTCTAGGACAGAGTCGTCTGCCAATGAGATTTCATCCATGAGGAAGACACCTCCCTCCTTCATGGCTTGTACCAAGGGCCCATCATGCCACTCAAACAGTCTGCCGTCCTCCCCGTCATTCTACACAGACATGCACAGATATTTAGTTTAGTTTAGTTTAGAAGTTTGTGCTTCTACACTACTAACCAGGATTTTCTTTATAATGTATCAACATCAACACAAGTCCAATTTAATAATAAGAATTTACAGAAATGCATCACAGATGTATAATAAATATATATATATAGAAATATGTAGTTAACTTTCTAAGTTAACTAACTAACCCGCCCACCCCACCCCAGTTGACATGATGGGGGCAAGAATCTTTCCACTTTTTGAATGAGATGAACAACAGATTCAGATGAACAACTTTCAGTACTGTGGAGAACATATTTTCCCTCCACATTTTGAATATCACTAGCGGTCCCAGTGAGGACTTATCACTACCTGATGTGTATGTCTGACAGGCCGGAGTCCTCCCAGGAAATCAGATGTCTCCATGTGGAGGTGACAGTTGACTGAAAAGAACTTCTGTCCAGCCAAAGCAGCAAACAGCTGACAGATGGTGGTCTTTCCACATCTGGTGAAGGAGCAGGAGCACATACAAAACACATGACATTAGACATTTATGTATATATATAAAAAAAAAACAACTTATATGCACAGTAAACATGAAGACATGACTCTCACAAATCTGTACATTATGGGGTTGCTATAGCTCAGGAGTTAGAGCTGATCAATCAAGATCCTGAACCCCCAAGATGCTCCCCAATGTGTTCAGTGGATGAATGTGTGTGAATGTAAGATAGAAAGCACTTAAGTGTAGGAACAGAGACTGACTGGAGTTGCACTTTCAAACTGACTCAATTTACTTGGAGTTCAAAAACTACCTGGTATGTCGGTATATCATCTAATGGAAAGCATATGCGAGAACCCTAAAACCGGTTCTAGTGGCTCAGCATGGGGAAAAGAATCACAATCCTCTACACTATGAGTACACTGTTTATGTTTCTTTATATTATAGACTATAAAGTTTGTATGAAGGTTGAATTCAGTGAATTAATCAAAGCATCGTCACTTCTGCTACACCTGATATCAAATTATGACCATGGGCCCCACAGCCACACACTAGTCTGTACTTTGAATCCATCACAGTAGAGTCTTTTAAATAACACGATTAGTCTACCTTTGGTTGTTATACACCACACTTCGCAATATGAAAATAGGATCATCTTTCGTGTATTAGGCCCATAGGGATGTGAAATAACAAGTCCCCTCAAATTTGTTCAAGCGAATATAACAAGTCTGTTTTGAAAATTTGAGTAGAAAGTTCAGATATTTATTTAACCTCCTGAGAGTTTAGTATTTTGGTCTAGACAACCCAAAATGTGATGTCCACATATGTGGACGCCAGGTCCTAGGAAGTTAAAAATATAGAGTGTAAAAGTAAAAGGTTGTCAGAAAAAAAAAAAACTCTAGTACAGATACCTAAAAATTATACTCAATTAGAGTTAAAGTATTTCATTACTTCCCAGATATAAAGAATAATATCTTAATATTACCCCGTGTTTCCTACAAGCAGGACAGACTCGCCAAATCGCAGCGCTCGACCGAGGAGCACAGCCAGTCTCCTCATGTCCTGTGTCCACACCACATGTCGGAACTCCTCTGGGACTCCAGCAATGCTGTCGATGAAGGGACCTGTTGAGATCATCAAACAACACGACACTGTGTTGATCACGAGCTTAGTTAAAACGACTTTTTTGTGTTCTAATAGTACAACAGTAGTCGCCTCAAGGCAGCGGTCGCTGTGATTTGGCGCTACCCATGTACTCCGCCCATGTACACAATACTGGTTACAGGCTTTCAACATCATACTTAACTCTGTTCACTGTATCTGAATTCTAAATGTCAGTGCATGAAGCAGATGCTGCAGATTTTAAGCAAGTGTATATTACAGTGACACCTGCCATTGTTTTTACAAACAGATAAAATCAGCAATGTTAAGTATTCCATGTCAACTAAAATGTTAACAGTTAACATTGAAACCTGAGAGAAAGTGCATGCAACTTGAGTGCTGCTATCATTAAAGTAATGTAAGCAGACTAAACACTCACTAAATACTAGTGCAAAGTAAGGAAAGTGTCAATGGAAAATTGTACTTAGTAGTCAGTATAGTCTTATAATGATATATATATTGTACTATTCTTAGTTAGTGTATTGTCTGTCTTGTCTTAATGTTGGTTTATAATGGAGCACTGTAACAAAAAATAATTTCCCCCAGGGATCAATAAAGTATTCTGATTCTGATTCTGATATAAGACCCAGGAAAACCGAGTTAACGATAAAAACGATAACAAAATAACGCTGAAAACCGATAAAAACCCTGAAAACCATACATTTCACACCTGAGCCTCAACCAAACGACTCACGGACCGGTACCGGTCCGAGGCCCGGGGGTTGGGGACCAGTGTTTTAGAGTACATCTCTTAACAGAAAGTATCATCATTGGTGATGAAAATGTCATGCAATACGTGACTCACTGAACTGGCTGGCAACCTGTTTCTGAGAGAACAGATATTCCGGGTTCACCGTTCGTTTGAAGTGCTTCTCCAGGATGGACAGGATGATGACCTCTTCTTCAGGTTTTCTCACACGTCCTGCCAGAAGCATATACCCTGTCGGGGAGTGAAAATTTCAATTTAGGGTCTCTGTGTGGAAGTGATTTAATGGGTTGTTTAATGAGCCTCACCATCATCTGCTAAATGCTGCAGCCAGTCCCGAGAGGCCTCTGCCTGTTCCTCCAGCCTGTAGCGGTCCGCCCAACGGAAAAGATCTCTAAGGGTGATGAAGCCCTGTTTGCCTGCAAACACTGAGGATCCTTTGCGCAAGGACTGTAGAACAATTAGTCAGGATCAACGAGAACAGGCAAGTAATAGAAAGATACGAGTAGATGCGAGAGACAGTGCAACACTTACCTGAAGGTCTTGCATGACTTTCACTAGCTTGGTGCAGTAAGATGGGGGAAGGCTGCACCTCTGATGAAGGATGATCTCCAGCTCTGCACTGGGAAGCTCATCAAAGTGTAGCTCCACAAAGCGATTCCTAAAAGCCCTGGAGAGCACCTAGATAGTGTTGCATAGAATATATATATGTATGATGAATACACACGTTCTGCCAACTTTTTTGTGTGTGTTTTCATAAAAAGGCCTGTCCGTACCTTTATGATCATGTAAAATCTTCATGATTTCTATCCAAATAATATTTCACTTCACAGCTACTTTATCCATCTTCCTAAGCTAAAGGAATGCTATACCTTTCTACCACCGTAGAGACCAGGGGGATTCTGGGTAGCAAACAGCATGAACCTGGGGTGAGCACTGATGACTTCCTGAGTTTCAGCCATAAAGAGTTCTCTGTTGTCGTCCAACAATCTGTTGAGGGCCTCCAGAACATCAGTGGGGGCCAGGTTCAGCTCATCTAGGATGATCCAGTAGCCTTTCCTCATAGCATCAATAAGAACGCCTTAATCAAAGACAAATAAAATTAGCCATGTGGACTGGGGCCGAGCTACTTCACATTAGCAGTTAAGGTAATTAACTGTGATTCTCATTTATTAGCAATTTTTATTCTCTGACAGTTTCCCCAAATGGTTTGGATGCTTTGTGAAATAGAAAGTCTTGATTTTTATTTACATTATTCAGCTTTTTCAGAGGAGGTCTTGAGGGAAGATCTATAGTAAGCCTCTGGATACAGTCCAACCTCACACGTGTTGCACAAATTTACAGTCTTTTGTTACCTCGTTTCAGTTTTTTTCCCTTTTACATGTTGCTTCCATCAGATTCAAAATGACGAAGTATATAAATGTCTCAATTTCAACATCTGTTACCTTTCTTCCATTTTACAATAAATATAGTTTTAAATTATGAAACTAAATGTTGTTTGTTTTTCGTTCACACTTCATTTTATTAAGCCTTACTTAAAAAACTGGGTATTTACATACAGAGAAAACCTTTCAAGTTTTCAATGCATTGATTTTTTTTCCTCTTTTGCAAGTCACATGACTGCTTCGCTCTTCATTGCTGTGCTCTTTACAGGACAACATAATGCAGCTTCTTATTTTTCTTTGCACAAAACACTGCCATTGGGACAGGGAACAGAGTCGATAGGCGTTTATCTTTCCTAGTCTTACTGACCATTACAAGTCGCATTTAACTATACAGTGATTTATTCTGCTCACTTTAAGCTCCTTCTGTCCCATATTCTCAGCCAATTAAGAATCCCCATTTAACCCTACATGCATATGTTTGGACTGCACGAGGAAGCTTGAGTAACTAGACAAAAACCATGCAGGCACGGGGAGCATGAAAAAGCTGATTCCCTAGAGAAAAGCCCCAGGAGTCTTGTAACACTATTTTAAATGCTCATACCCTCTTTAAACACCAGCTTGCCCCGGTCATCTGATGAGTAACAGCCAATGTACTCCTGGACATCGGTGTGCTCATGGTTGTTGATTCTCACACACTGGTTCCCGGTGGCAGCAGCGAGCCACCTGATCAAACTGGTCTTCCCCACAGATGTCTCTCCCTGGATCAGCACTGGGTGAGTCCTGTAAAGCCAAAGCAACATTCGTGACGTTATTTCCTGACTGTATGAAATTAACCTTAAGAGCAGCTAAGTGGTGAAGGACCTCTGAGTTATAAACAAAACCAAACAAAATGCTTTGAACCTTTTCTGTTTGTGACAACAGAATACATTGAAGAAGATGGAGTCAGACTCAGGAACTTTGTGCTGTGAGGCAACACTACCAACTACTGGCCGCCTCCTGTTGCACACATATTGTTCACATTTAAAGCCTGTAACAAACTGGTATGATTTTCAACTCAAAAATCTTTATAGTTGTGATATGCACTGGTCCCAAAATTCTAAAAGTAAGAAGTGATGTCCTCACCATTCACATTTAAGTCTGGCATGTTAATGTTGCGTAGGAGCAGAAAGGAATAGACAAATGTATCGCTTTGGAGAAACACAGGAAAGCTGATGGCTGAATCACAGCTCTTTCTTTCCACTGTTATAAAAACATCAAAGCCTCCTGTTTGGTAGGCCACTGACTGCAGGGCAATTCAGTCCAACCACAGATTTGTCCTGATGCACTCTGGTGCATCATTTACTGAAGGGCCTGAATTAGCTCTGTCAACATGAATATCTAGAGATTTATAGATGAAACCATTGATTCAGGGGGGAACATTGTACAAGGGGTCAGATTGGGTGATAGCTCACCCTGCAGACACCACTCTGGCAAGGTCGCGTAGGTTCAGCTTGACTGAGGGAGTGAGAATGTAGCTGGGGTCGAGACCTGGTTCCATCTCCCCCTGGGAAACCCAATAGCCTTCCATTTCAACACAGGGTCGGCCTGAGGGTGCCGGGATGGACTGTAGGAAACACAGTGCACAAACATTTTACAGAAAGGTTGCATATAATTATGCCTCCGTATCACTTCGCCCTAAACTGGTAAATGATAGCACGTTTCTACTCTGAGCACTCAAAGTGTTTTATACAACTTGCCTCATTCAGCCATTCACACAAGCACTTTTTGCTTTGAGTGCTACATCTATCTAACATTCACACGTTCATATCTTGCCCAAAGATATTTGGCATGCACGTCTTGTATTAGGGATCGAATCACAAAGCTTCTACTTAGTAGATGGTCTGCTCTACCTCCTGAGCTACAACAAGTCACTTTTCAGAACTTTAAAATCCATTTTAGCTCATGCTGAAAAATGAAACATTTTTCACATTGAAAGCTTATTAGAAAAGAGAAAGAGCACATATGAAGTGTGTTGAAAGTGATAACGTCTTTGGTTTGTGGTATCTTCATCTAAGATTGTTTTATGCATACACACACACTTTTTGGGGTTTTCTCATCATTTTTTTAAAGCACCTCTGATAAGATCTTACTTGTTTCAGACACTTTGTGTTTCCCATCAGGATGTGCTGACACACCAGTTTCTGGACCACAGGGTGGGAGCTTCTGTCCAGCTGAGTGAGGAAGCTCAGGCAGAACCCCTGCACACAAGACGCAGTTGAAGAACAGGTATAACAAGTACAAAAACATCAAACCTTCAAATACTAAAATAATAACAATAATGATTAAAAAACACAGGGCATTAAACAAAACTGACCATTCTCAATATGACTACTTATAAATAAGAGATCTGGTTCCCACCTCATAAAGTGAGCGCTGCACGTTGTTACAGGGGTTTAGCGCCACATACTTCAGGGCCCTGCACAGAGTCCGCAGACTGTAGTGGGGTCTGTGGCCCCTTCCATCCACCAGACGTGAGCTTGCTTCCTTTCGTACTGTCAGATAAAAGCTGCAAAGAAATACATTTGACAAATAAGCCATTCAAAAGGTAGTGTAAACCTACAGCTCACACACACTTACATATATATCCTATCCTAAAGCTAAAAGTGTCAGAAGCCGAGGGTGAAAAAAACAACAATAAAATGTAACAGCAAGCTTGTAACGCAAGCATCTATGGCAGTTTGATTATGATGCAATTAACTAACCCAAAATGAGTAAGGATGTTTGTTTGATGACTGCATCAAAAACACAAAAGGCAAACACGCTCTTGAAACTACGCTCTACCTATTCGAGTCTACAATGCATCAGGCTGCATATAGCATCAACAAAGAAGGTATATTGTTGGATGGTGTACAAAAGAAATACACTCGTTCAGCAACGTCTTTAAAAAAACGATCTTTTAAAAGTTCAAGCATTTATAAGAGCCAACCTTATAATGCCACTGATGACACTTCGATGTGGATTTAAGCACTTGAGGTAATCTGAAATCAGGATCCTCAGGTCAGCTTCATTCTCCAGCTCCTCCACATACAGCTCAGTAAACCTAAGCGAAACATACAGAGGTTTAGAAATGAAGCATTGTTCCCATTTTGGAATTAATTCTTGTATAATAAAGGAAGGAAAATAGAACATTTGATCAAAAACATACACATGCTTACTTAGATTTAAAAATATTTGTATAGAAATATACATATAATATATAAAAACAAATACTTTTCGATCAGTCGAGCATTATGCCTGTGGCATAAAGCTTCTTGCGTAGTCTGCAGCGCTGCATAGTCTCACCTGTTTCTGAGGCCCAGAGGCAGGTTCCTCTTCCCAACATCAGTAGCTGGGTTCATACAGGCAAAAAGCCGGAAGTCTGGGTGGCGTACTAGGGGCTCTACTCAAAAAAAACAAACAAAAAATTACAGAGTTCTAACTTTGGAAGTATTTAATGAAGGCTTTCAAAAGGGGGCAAGGTAATGGCAGTCCTCACCGGTGTCTCCACGATCCAGCAGTACTAGAGATCTGGTGTTGCCCTCAAGAAGTCCACTCAGACACTCGAGGGTCTCTGCTGCTGCCAAGTTGATCTCATCCAGCAGGATCCAGTGGCCCTTCTTCACTGCCTGAGCTAATGTTCCCTATAAAGCAAAACACACACAGGTAAGGGTTACCACGCTCTGATCCCCGAACATATGTGTGGTTATTTTTTTAAGTCTTTACCTCCACAAAGGCAAAGACCATGGCTGTCTCACAGGCCCTAATCTGCTGCTGGGTCTGATTAAGTTTTGAAGCCAGTGCCTCCCACTGCTCCTGCAACAAAGCAGCTGCACGGACACAAACACGCACACGCAGGAAAACGTCAGTGTTTTACTCTAACACAGCCGGTGTAACCATCTAGTAATTCTGGAGCACTACCATCTGATTTCTCTTGCAGCTCCTTAGTGAGAGCAGACTTGCAGACGTGGTCCATGAGTTTAAGCAGATCCTGCCAACGCTTGCCTCTGAAGCAGGTTTGCACGTGACCGAGGAAGGTCAGGTTCTGCTTTCTCGAGTAGGTCTGGGAGAACAGGTCCTCGAAGGCCTCACGCAGAGGGAGCAGGATCTGCTTTATGTCCACTGGCTTGTACCTGTTATTTAAAAGAAAAAAAAAAAAAAAAAAAAAAAAAAGGAAAAAAGTTTAAGCTAAGAAGAAATCATCAAAAGAAATTACTGGGACGTTTTGGTTTTTTTTACTACTTAATAGAGTTTGGCACCAAAGTGTTACCAAAAGAATGACTTAAAACCAGTGGAAAAGATTTATTTTTTTATTTTCACAATTTGGGTTTTGTTCTTTGCTACAACTAAAAGATTGATGTATCCATTCGTATTGAGAATATGACACTGATTTAAGCTCTGGTCCATCCAGTTTTTTCCTTGATAACCTGCAATAACCCATAGTGACATTCCACTTCAAGAAGCCAAACCTGAGAGAGGTCAAGCAGGTTGTCAAGGCAAGTAGAAGTACCTCAGCACCAGGTCCAAGTGGAGTCTCCTACATTGTCTACATCAAGTGGCCCAGACTCCATCAAGGTTAGCTGGAGGATAGGAAAAGTTGCACAGCAGTGGAAATATGAAGAAGATGTCACTGAACAATTTGGAATCGCCTCACTCCTCGACTTTGAGGGGAAGATATACTTTAGCTTTGTTGCCAGATACATAGAATCCCTTTTAAGCAATCCATATATCGACACTGCTTCAGCGCTCCATGGGTATTAGATCATCGATCAGACAGGAAATGTCATTTAGCTTATCCAGGAGGGAAATGCTGACCTTGCAGTTCTGCGATTTGACCTTGCCAATGCTCATGGGACAGTCTCACACAAACTGGTGGAAAGCACACTCGTTCAACACATATTCAAGACAAGATCAGAAACCAAATTTTGGACTATTACAGCTGCTTCAGTTACAGTAAAGACGGCTGGACCAGTAACATCTGCTTTCTATGGGCTAGATTAGGGAATAATCATTGGGTGTACCCTCTCAGAGATTTTGTTTATTTTGACCATGAATATGCTTGGCCCCATTTTGGGCCCCCAATGAGGGCTTTCATGGACAATCTGACAGTGATCACAATATTGACTCCTGGGATAAAATAGATCCATCAAGGTCTCAAACACCTGATCAACTGGGTATAGATGGACTTTATGACAACCAGGTTCTGATCTCTAGTTGTGTAGAAGGGCAACATATGCACTAGGAGAAGTCCAAATTCAATCAATACCTGGGAAGCCAATTAAGAGGAAAGGCCTGGATGTATCAGCAGGTGGTTTACCATGTCCCATCATTGTGGTGGGGGCCTTTGAGAAGATTATCAAGATCCTGCACAGGTGGGTTGGGTTTTTTCCTGCAGTCTAACACTGCAAGCAGCCTTTCGAAGGAATTCATGGATATTCAGGCAAGTGCTGTTGCTGTAGAGAGAGTCTCTTTGGCTAGCATAGAGGTGAGGAAAAGCTGGAGGTGGAGGGCTCAGGAGGGTGTTGATCAGGTGGACAAGTGGCTGTGACACAGACAGCTGGTGGGGACAGTTGCAGTAGGATGGGCAGGACCTGGCAGCACCCCAAGAACTCAACATGTCAGTTAGCCCAGAAAGAAATCCAAGCATGGGGGGAGAAGGATGCAGGATGGTTGGGATGAAAAGCAAGGAATATGGACTAGATGGGCGCAGGCAATAGACCAGAACATCTTGTGTTCAGGACTATTGGAAGGTCAAATCAAATCAAGGTTCAGTCAGTGAACGATGCCCTCCCAAACCTAACCAACCTTTCCTCCTGGGGCCTGGCAGAGAACTGAAAATTATTAGCATGTGTGTTAAGCTGTTAGCTCTGGGAGAAGGATGTTATTAGTGGCACCCTGACTAGGTGCTGAGTTATTACAGAAGATATCAGCAGATCTCTCAACAGGTTACACTAGGCAACAAAGCACTATTGTTTTTGTCAAGGCTAGAGAAAAAAGAAACAGGATACAAGAGGACTTCTGACAACAGCTCAGGCCTGGCAGTTGGAAGGCTAACCTAAGGAGACAGCTCGAATTCCCTGACACAGTAGTTGTGACAACCAGGCCTGACATATCGAGGCAGGTGGCCCTGCTGGAACTGACTGTACCCTTAGAAGAATGCATTGGAGAGGTATTTGAGAGGAAGAGGGCCAAGTATGAGGAGCTACTCCATTGATGTCAGCTGTCAAGGTTTTGCTAGCCAGTCTATCTACTAGGTCGTCAAGTTACTTGAGATCAGCAGACTGCACAGCAAGAGAGCCATCTTGCACATCACCAATATACCTGAGAGGCCATCAAGATATGTGTGAAAAGGCAGGACCCATGGACAACACAATTTATTTAGACACAAGCTGGGGACTAACCACGCTAGCTAGGTCATCAGGGTGAGGATGTATAAACATGAAAGTCCTGAAAGACCCAGTGACAACCCATTATATCACTGATGATGTATCTAGGACACACTGTAGGGTGTGCATTAATAGACTTTGAGATGCCTCTACAACTCCAGTCAAGAGCCGGTTACTCTTCATCATACATAATGCAAAGACACTATCAGTAGTCTTCATGGATCAGTAGAAAAACTACTGGAGGGACTTAATCAGATGACTGTTGTTGTGAATTGCAGCTATTTACATTGCTATGATAAAACATTTGTCCACTTCGTGACTTTTTTTTAGCATATTTGTAATACTTGGATGTTTCATAGCTTCAAAAAAATGTAATATTAGAGAACGATAACCTGAGTAAATACAAATATTGCATTCTTAAATTACGATTTCATTTACGAAGGGGAAATGAGCTATCCAAGCAATAACAATAATAATAATAATAATAATAACAATAACAATAACAATAACAATAATAATAATAATAATGGATTGCATTTATATAGCGCGTTTCTAGGCACCCAAAGCGCTTTACAATTCCACTATTCATTCACTCACTGGTGGAGGCAAGCTACAGTTGTAGCCACAGCTGCCCTGGGGTAGACTGACAGAAGCGAGGCTGCCATATCGCGCCATCGGCCCCTCTGGCCAACAACAGCAGGTGGTAGGGTAAAGTGTCTTGTCCAAGGACACAATGACCAGGACAGAGAGAGCAGGGGGATCGAACCGGCAACCTTCCAGTTACAGATGAGCTTCCCAACCCCCTGAGCCACGGTCGCTCCCACAATGTGAATGACTCATTGCCAGTTGTCACAAACACTTGACTGCTGTTCTTATCTATATAGTTTTAGTGACAGAGTATTATTTTTATGCAATTAATGCACAGTTGCTGTGTGACTCACCCTCCAAGCAGATCTGCGGTATCACTCTGCTGGTTCATGTTCACAACCCGCAGCCTGTGTCCTGGATTGAACAAATAGGAAATATTTCAAATAGGATGAACCGTTCACAGAGCTTTATGGAGATAATTGGAGTTTAAAGACATAGTGACAGGGGGAGGGAGGGTTCAAACCACCAGTGAGCCACAGCCAAGTTTTATCTTTGCGCAAACCTGAGCTCACCTGTGATTCTAGCTAGTTGTTGTACAGTAGAGGTCTTTCCAGTTCCAGTCTCCCCCACCAGAAGAACCGGCTCTCCCTTGGCCACACACACTGCCAGTTGTTCAAGTAGCACGGCAGATGGTCGTGTAGCAGCAAATGTGTGGTTCTCCCTGTTTAAAACAACACATTAACAGTTAATATTTGCACATTGCAGAAAAACAACAAAAACACTTTTTGTGTCAACATTGAAGTTAATGTTCACCCACATAAACACGTGGATGCAAAAATATTACACTTTTGCATTCGGCCCTTATATAACTGTTGCAAGAGCCTGGTTTGCATTGCCGACTTGGGTGTCTACTTTTCGCAGATGATGTGGTTGTGCTGGCTTCACGGTGGTGGCCTCCAGCTTGAGTGTGAAGTGGCAGAAATGTGAATAGCACTTCCAAGTCTGAGGCCATGGTCCTCAGCCAGAAAAGGGTGCATCACCCACTATGGATGAGGGATGAATTAAACTCCCCTCCACTTGATGCAGTGGAGTTTAAGTATCTCTGGGTCTTGTTTACGAGTGAGGGGAGCGGGAGATTGACAGATGGATTGATGCAGCGGTTGCAGTGATGTGGACCCTGTACCGGTCCATTATGGTGAAAAGAGAGGCGAATTTAAAAAAAAAATCTAAATCAAAAAGCTCTCAATTTACCGGTCGATCTATGTTCCTGCCTTCACCTATGATCTTAAGCTCTGGGTAGCAACCAAAACACCGTGGTACAAGCGGTGGGAATTTTGAGTTTTGAGGGTGAGAAGCTCAGCCATCCAGGAGGGGCTCAGAGTAGAGCAGCTGCTGATCCACATCGAAAGGAGCCAGGTGAGGTAGTTCGGGCATCTGACAAGGATGGCTCCTGGGTGCCTTCTAGGTGAGGTGTTCTAGACATGTCCCCCCGGACCAGTCTCAAGACACCCTGGAGAGATTACAGTCACTTTTCCATTTGTACCTACTCTGGTCGCTCACCACGGTTTTCCCTTAGGTGGTAGCTTTTTTAGTACGTATCCCAATGGGGCCCCGAGCAACCTCGGATGATCACATCAGTGGATTAGCTAGTCACTTGATGAGTCATGAAAGCATCTCCTTCATGAAAATCAAAACCGCCACTTTTGAAACCTGGCAACAGGGAAATCGCCGTGGTCCCCAAGTTTCACAGAAAGTCACAGACCGAGCAGGTATAACATCACCTGGAAGTCCACCTTTGTCATGGCGTTCAAGTCGCAGACTAATTACATCACAGGACACTTGACCATGTTGCTATAACCACCCCACACACATTAGGTGGTACTCGATCGTAATGGAAAACAAGTCAAAGTCGCATCCAGCCAATCTGAGTAGGAACGAATGAATAACAAGCATTTTTTTTCCTTTGATAAATAAAATCATCATTTACATACAGCATCTTGCTGTTTTTAGAAGTCATCTACATCTAATATTAAAGTCAGTTTAATGACCTGAAACATGACAAAAATAAATCAGAAAAGGTAAATACTTTGTCACAGCACTTTATATCGTGGAAACATAGAAAGGATTTGCCAGAGTAGGATGTCCCACTTACACACTCAGCTGAACTGCTTCAGTCTGTTTCCGAATCAGAGTCACTCTGCCCACTGAGGCCTCCAGCTCAGTTAGCAAGATGCCAGGCTGATACATCTGACAGAAGTGCTGGGCCTGGAAAAAAGCAGATGCCACAAATTAAAAACCAAGATTACAGTTAAATTGGATTTCAGTGGCATCAGAATGGTCCTCTATCCAAATCCGAAACATATGCTTCAAACTGCTTTCATTTACCATAAAACTGTTCACTCAAATACCTTCTCTCTGGAGATGTTCAGTTTGCTTCCAATGATCTCAGCCATTCGCAGTCTACTTTCGGGATGAGACAGCATGGCTGTGAAGCAGTCGAGAGCCTGAGGGAGACAAAGACCAGAAAATGACTCAATTCACAGAGTAGCGCTTTATAAAAAATGTGGTTAATCACAGCCAATTCATTATTAAACAAGGTGGTGCAATCCTTTTCCACACAGGGCCACACAGGTTTCTTTCTTCTTTTTTTCCCCTTAATGATAAAACACCCTCATTTAGACATTTACTTGCCTTATCTTTTTCTAATATCAAAATTTGTTTCGTGATCTAAAACATCTCAGTGTTACAAACATATAAAAAAAAAGAAAAAAGAAAGAGGAAATTAGGAAGGGGGCAAATACGTTTTCACACCACCGTATGTCGCATGTAGTTAGTGATCTAGTTAACTGTGTTCCTATGATTTTAGCCAAGCAGTTAGAGAAACAACTAACTACATAGCTATGGAACAGGGACAATTTTGTCCTGCCAGAGTAGGAAGATCACCAGTACTCTTGTTCATCTCATGTGTCCCTTTCATGCCGAAACTATCCAAAATGTCTATTGCGAACAACATCCTACGATTCAGTTACTACACAGTAAATGATATATTCTCATTTTCATAGTCACTGCATAAAAAAAATAAATAAAAAAAAAATAAATAAATAGAAGGTGTTTCAAGGCTGGCTCTGAAATACGTGGATGAGTCTTGGAGGTTACAACCGTGTATTGGTTTCTATGGTAATATCGTCTGGCATGTGTATGAATGAAACATCCATATGTGATCATTTTCATAAATTGAATTCACTGACCTCTCGGAAGACATGTTGTGCTGTAGCTGACGAGGTGCAGTCAAAGTTGACGCTGATTCGCTCACACCATTTCAGCAGGTCCCTGTAGAGTGATAATGGAGAAGTATCCAGAACATATTTTTTAGACTTCTTATCTTTCTAACCTGATTTTGGTTGTCACAACAGACACGGGATCACAAATTTTCACCCATCTACCAAACTAAAAGAACGTGGAAAGAACACAGAAATTTCAATGAGCACTTTAGTGAGTCCGCTTTTACTTAAATGCACTGATGTGACCTGATTAATCTGTGATTCCAGTTTCCTGCTCTAAGGACATTTTAATCAGTAAACTATGGATCGCAGCAAAGAGTTTATTGAAAACCAGTTCATCACATGAAGACTGAACTGCAGACTGGATGGAGGGGATAATGTGATAGATTTAAGACCATAAATTCCATGGTCATGGTTCTGCGTATGCCCCAAATGGCTGCGATGACAATACAGCTTTTGTGGATTATAGGCCAGATGTTCAAGAAACAACGTATATCAAAACCCCATGATCCTATATGCAGTGATTGATCTTTAATGATTTAAAACAAAAAACAACAACAACAACAACAACAACAACAACTGGGTGGCACAGGTTTACATTTATTTTTGATTTTCTCTGATCTACACATGGTCAAAAGTATAACATACTGGGTCAGAAGTATAACCCACTAACATTTGGTTAAATGTCACCTTCAACAGACACTGGGGGCTTTGGGAAGTCCACTGCAGAACCTTAATGTTAGCCTGCTTTGTCTGTTCCAGAATCAGTTTTGATGCGCTGCAATCATTGAAACATCTAGTTTTTTGTTTCAGCTGTCGGGTTGGGGTGAGTTGGTTTGTGTACCTTTAAGTATGTTAAACAACCGGCGTACTTTAATTAATAATAGATGTTATTAAAACTGGCAGCCTTAGTCACCAGCGGATAAAATTCAGTGGAATTTGATGTTTTTAGTGCCACAGGTCAATTTGATGTGTTGATTAGAATTTAAATGTTAGACAAAGGAAAAAGGAGAAGAGAGAGCAGCAAGCTGGGGCTCACCTCAGTGAAAGCGCCCTCAGCTGTGTGCTTTTGTCGTCAGAGTTGTGCTGCTGGCTGTTGTCAGGCATTGGAGGGCTGTTTGTGTCCAGCTCAGAGTGTCTCTCCCCAGTCAGCTGGCAGAAGATTTCCAGGAGATGGTCTGACACCACAGACAGCCTCGGATATCTACTAATGAGCACCTACATACACGAGGGATAGGATCAGCTTGAAACAGATACAACAGAACTTACAGCAGGAATGCACGATGGAGAAAAAAAAAAAAGATTTAGGATTTTTATACTGCAAAAAAACGGATTAAAACCCTGTAGCAAAAACATCATTTTTGACTTGCTGACCAGAAATCTTAAGTTTGTCCCTAACTGCAGCAGAAAAGATCATCTCAAAGTTTCTAAATATCCAAATCGATGAAAATATACAGGCTTTGACTCCTATGACTTCCATGTGTCCGAATATCATGCAACTTCATAAGTAAAAGGAAAAAAACGATGCTTGCTGCTGCCTGATTTAACTTGCTTGAATTCCTCCTTGGTAAGGTGCTAGGTGTTTTTAATTAAACATTTTTAAAGACATCCCTCTATCCAATCAAAAAAAGTTGTGTGCGTCTTCTAGACACAGCAAGTCCTTTTAAGAACAAGTACGGTTTCATGAGCGTGAAGGAGATACCAAGGGATGGACCATTATACAAGGAGAGGAGGAGTTCCCTTACTGGTTAAATAAAACACTAATTGTAACACTAAAGCTAATGTCTTGTTTTAGAATACAGGCACATATTTTTGCAAAAAAAAAGGGAATCTACTGTTGAAACCACAGTGAAGTTAAACATGAAAACCCTCCCAATCACCTTCTTCAGCTCTTCTCGTGTCATGTTGCCCATTTGCAGCTTCGTCCAGTACTTGTCCAACAGCACTGCATGGGAGTTCTGGGGTCTGTGCCAGCTTCCACCACTACAATACATCCTACAGTCCACAAAACACAAGTTACTTGCTACTAAAATCTGACAGGCCAGTGTTCATTGAAACATGCATTACTCTTTAGTACATCTCAATTGTACATACAGTTTGAAATGATTAACCGTACATAGGATTACACATCCCAGCGTCACAAAGCACATGTGACAGGTTCAGTAGTCATATCAGAATTTCATATCCCTTAACAAATCGCTGTAGTCTGACCTTCTGGTTGCAAAAAATTGGAATCCAGGCGCAACATCAATGCAGTCCTCTCGCCCCGGAATCATCAGCTTTTTATTCTCCATCAAAGGGAGGAGCGCAGATATCTGAGAGAGAGGGGAAAAAAAAAAAAAGAACTTTTTTAGGGCTAGTTTTTTCCTTGCCAGTGACAACTCAGTGGTGTAACGGTTAGCAGTGTCATCTTGACAGCAACAACTTGATGGCTCAAACCCCCGACTAGAGAATTTCTATGTAGAGTTTGCCTGTTTTCCTGCGTGGCTTTTCTCTGAGTACTCTAGCTTCCTCCCATAATCCAAAGACATGCATGTTAGGTTAATAGGTGATCCTCAACTGCCCATGGATGCTGGGCCAGAATGAAACACACTACCAATGTAAAATGGGACTTGTAATCTTGAGAACTTTGTTTGGATGCTTTATAAATACCAGTCCATAGTTTTCAATTCATTCATATTTAAAAAGGTAGGGTATTTACTCACCACATCCAGAGGAGCATGGTCAATGTCCTCCAAGAGGATCCACTGGCCTGAAGACACGGCTTGTGTTAGTGTTCCAGGCTGCCATATAAACTTCCCTGGTATATCAGTGCAACGGTACATTCCCAGGAGCACCTGTGATATAAAACAAGGACATTTTGAAATGTTCAGCCTTCAGACTAAATGAGTTATTAGAAAACTCAAAAAAAAGTTTGTGAAACTAGAAGAAACACCTTCAATTCAATTTTATTTATACAGTGCCAAATCACAACAACAAGGTGCTTCAACAAAATATCATCAAAAAAAACCAAAACAAAACACAACATCAACAAAATATTGTGAATATTACATCAACAGTGGCCAGGACGTTCTGATTTGAGTACATATGGGTGCAAACCTGCAAATCCTACAATTCTGACAGTTTGTAAAATGTTTGTTTTATATATTAAATGTCAAATATAATGCTTCATCACTTCCTATAGAACCATAAGAAACAACATGTTTTTTCCTTTTATGTCTCTCACCTTGCTGTCAGTTTGATCCCCAAGCTGCACCTTGAGGATCTCCGTAGTTTTGGCATGTCCGGTGACAGCAGCCATAAACTCTACCAAAGCAGTTTTACCGCATCCAATAGGACCCTCGAGCAGTACAGGTTTCTGGGAGGCCACGGCCAATGCCAGTCGTCTCAGATTGCGGCAGGTTGAGTCAACCAACACCAGATCCTTTTGATTAATCTACAAGTAGAAACCAATATTAGGAAAAAAAAAAAAAAAAAAAAGCAGAGACAGATATATCGCAGAGATTACCTACCTGTTCAGGCTGCCTAGGAACTATCCTGGGTAGCACAACACCACAGACTGCCACTACATTCTGCGACAAGTCCTCTGATACCACCTGGCCTCTAGTAAACTTGTTGGCCTTCTCTTGGCACCACGTCACATAGCCCTGATTGGCTAAAACCAGGGCCTTCTCAAACTCCAGCTGCTGAGTTTCTTCCAAACCCCTAAAGAAGCATCAATGGTAAAGGCATGTAGCGCCACAATATCAGATTTACAATTCATGACTGTTGTTGATAAAATAAGTTCAGACATGTGCATAAATATGTGGAAAAAATAAAGAAATAACAGCAATGACACTATAAGGCTGTGTCCTATATTTTTGTTTATTGTGAAATGTATTTATATAATACAAGTATATGTGTTTGTGTGTATGTAACAGTAGCATCCCATTACAATAACACATTTAGACTGCAAATGCGAATGGCTGGGTCAAGTGTCAACACCAAACACACGGTACATACTTCATTTTCATGTGTAGGATCTCATCACTCGTCAGCACCTTCCTCAGGAAGATGGTTTTCTGGTTATCAGTCATATGAGAGACCAATGCTAAACAGTGGGCGGTGTACCTGTTAGAGTGACAAGTGACATTAACTGTAATTTGCAGGTCAAGTACAAAACAAAGAATAAATGTTGACTGTTAAATATAATAGCATTGGCTATAAATTACTGGTTAATATTTTGAGCAGTTAAACCAGAAAGTGATTCGAATAGCAACACTAATGTGCTGATAGCATACTTTTGGCTTTGTCTAACAGCATTTTGTGATTAAATCTTCAAGTAAATATAATCCTACGTTAATTGCTATGACAAAATATGCAATTAAATTATAGATACTAACCAATTTGTGATGATTACAAAGGGCTTCTATCCAAATATAATATCTTTGGTAAACGCTAACATGTAGAAGGTAACATTCTTTCTCTCGTTTTGCATCTTTTGTCCATCCAGTAATGCTTTCATTTGGAATACTGGCTCAGGATTTTGGATTGAGAGTGGAATGACTTATATCTTATATCAAGACAGGCTCCATGCTTTAGCATTATGCACTCAAATCAATTTAATACATCTGAAGTCAACTTTTTGAACTTAACACTAGCTGTGACTAAATATGTGCAAGTATTGCAACTAGTTGATTTTGTTTATTATGATTTATTAATGACTTTACGTTGTAGCAAAAGCTTTTGAAACAACTAAGCCAGATGGAGTAGCCAGCTAAAGAGTGCTCTTCTCCACCAACCTGAGCGTGCAGCCGAGTCAGTCCTGACAGGAGAAGGCTCCACCTTTATTTCCTTAAAAAAAGCTTCCCGTTTTTGTTTTTTTCCAGGACGCTTTTCCCCATATTGAAAATCCAATATCTATATCTAATGATATCTAGGTCTAAACATGACGCAGGCACATACCATCGCACCATGACATCACTGGTGAGGAGAAGGGACATGCAGGGGCTCCAGTCCCAGAGCATTCGGAACTTGGCACAGTCACTCTGGAGGAAACGCAAAGTGGCACCCATTAGGTCACGCAGCTTCATCCTTCTGGGGCCATACTGCACAGCTGATGACTCTTCACTGGTGAAGAAGAGCCTCTGAAACACCGGAGGGGCATTGTCGAAGTACCTTGCACCAAACCTTGAGGAGAGGTGCTGAGAGTTAGTCAGGATACACTGTTTACTTTACTGTGTAAGAGTGTCACAGCACAAATGAAGATCAAGAGTCTCTAGGTCTGCACTGGGTTAATGAGCACAGGATTTAATAAGACAAACGTCAGCACCAGTAGTTTTCTCAGAACACTTACGTTTGTGCGTCAGGACTGATGCTGAGAAGCTTGCTGAGGGCCACACACAGGCGCTCATGGAGGTCATGGTTGATGCTGCCTCCAGCTTTCACCCTCTCAGCATTGCGCTCCAACAGGTCCAGTGTCAGAGGACGCAAGTGCCGTGCAATCAGTAGAGTATAATCCTTTTCTAGCAGCAGCTGAGCCAAACAATCCAGAATACACTGCCTGTCCTGCTGGCTCCATATCTGAGGAGACATCACGTGGGCCACACGTTTTACTATCAACCCAAAATAATTAAATCCTGTGGGTTACCGAGCCTGAACGTAATCTACAGGGTCGTGATCGCTAACACGTAAAGGAAAGGTTAACGATGCAGAGTCTCAATGTGAACATAAACACATTATTTCCATCATAATATGCTCAGGAAATAACAAATCTTACCTGCTTTGCTAGGTACTGGCTCAGCTGGCTGTGACTTTTGTCAATATGTCTCGCTATGGTGCCTAGTGATGACAGACTCAGTACTAAATTCTCCATCTTCTCAAATATCTTTTCGTGGAGGGCTACAGCAAACACCAGCCTCTGGGATGTGTTAGCGATAATGTTTCCCTGCTACTGAAGAAAACTGAGAGGTTCATCACTCGCGTGTATATCTCAATACACAAACACGTTCTCTGGCGTTAAAACGCCATCCACATGTGAGTGAAGCCAGACTCCTTCCGGGTCAACTTCGTTACCTCCCCCTCCCACACTGCTTCCGTTTTCTGTCCTTATGTCGCGTGGTGATGACACGACCCTGGCCTGGCTGTCCATTTTTCCGGGAGTGAAGCAACAATTTGGGCTTGAGTGGAGCGTTAATTCTGTCTTTAACGGATTTCATTTTCTTTCTGACTCGGCGGCAGGAGCATGTTAGTTGCTCGCGAAGGCAGTGAGCGACAGTGTCGCAAATCTACCTAAGTGTTGAAGAATATTTTTGCTAGCGGAGAGGAGGAGTGCGCAGGCTGCAGTGACAGACCGCGGGAAAATGGTACTTCCTGTGCAAAGAAGTCTTGGCGCGGCTTTACAGCTGTAAACAACAGGAGGGCACAACAATACGCAAGTAAGTTAGTAAGACGACTAAATCACAGCCACGTTACTCTAATGTTCTGCAGGCTAATTTTAAGTCACTTCTTTTGCTGACCAACTTTCTTGTTTCCTCCGGGTTAGTTAAGCAGACAGTCCCGAGTCGCTTTATTTGTTTGAAGTAATGTCCAGAAATGTAAAAAACAAAATAAATAAGCAGTCCATCACTTGGCTTTAAGAGGTAAAATGTGTCGTGAAATGTCTGACAAGATAAAAACGTTGTGAAAGGAGATGTTTGTTTGCCATCCTTGTCTTTTGTGTTTGTGTTAGTTTAATTCGGGTCAAAGGTAACAAGGCTAGGAACAAAAGAGTCAAAAAGACAGTGTTATATTTATTCAACGAAATTAACTCGGGCCCACAGTTTGATCGTTTGTTTTAACCTGAAAGGTTATGAGATTATCATTCTGCTTGGCTTTGTTCTTTGGTGTCTTTGAGCAGTAGGACGGGCTCTAGCTAGCGCAACATGTTACCGCCATTAGTCCACATTTGTCCAATATATCAACCGTCTGTCAACCGACATTATCTCTGGAATTGTGTATACCATTAGGTGTATGTCACAGTCGATCTCTGGGAAAATTCAGCTGTGTATCTATTTATTTATCTGGTTGTCTATCGATCTTTAATTGGCGACTTGTTTTTTGCCCAGCACTTCACCCATTTCTGATGTGGATCTGCATATATGTTATTATTCATAAAAGTAGTTTTATAAGAAATATTTGAACAATGAAAAAGTGTTGTTAAAAATAATCATCTTACCAAAATAAACAGTATTGCTCTCCTGCAAACATTGATTGAGTAAAAGGGCCTATTACTATTATTGGACTTTTTTGCCCAAAGTAACAGTAATTTATGGAAACTTGTAGAGCAGACTTTTAAGATTTTTTTTTTAAAGCAACTTTTGCATCAATCTTTTGTTTTGGCTTGGACAATAACAACCATCAATTTCCCTTTGGCTTTGACATCAGGTAGTCCTTAAGAAACTGCCACAGGGATCTTTGACAGGATGGAGAACGTTGACACCAGCCATGCATCTGGTCGTAAGTATACATTGCTACTTAAGAACTTGGAATTACTCATCAAAAATTGAATGAAAACGAATTCAATCCCACATTTGTAGATACTCTATTAAAATTGATTAAGACTGATTTTTGTTGGTCATTAACAGACCTTGGAAGCTGAATGTCCTATCTTCCATAACCTTAAATTATTGTTTGGGCCTCCATACACTGTCAGTGCTCGGCATTAAAAACATTAGTTGAAAGTTCAGGTTGTAAACATGCATGCTTTTAGTTATTAATTTCATGCTTTTTTTCTTCTTTGGACTGGTGTTTGGTTGGCTGCAGTCAATAGACTTACATTAGTTTATGTTAGCTAACTAATACCAGACCCAATAACTCAGAAGAAAACAACACTAAGACTAAAACTCAGTTTAAGGCGGTCACTTTTGTGCTGCTTCTGGCTGCAACAGTGTGTTTATGTCAAAACAAAGGATATACTGTCATGTAGAGCTGGGCGATAGAACGATAACGATATGTATCGCGATATAACTTTTACTCGATAGAGAAATTAAGCTATCGCGATAGACCTCGCCGCTCTTGTCCTCTTAAAAAAAAAAGATCAGCCAATCCAAATTAAGTAGCGCAGAGCCGAACCAATCACAGCCGCAGCGTCACGTCGCGTGACTTGTAACGTACAGCACAAGTGCCAAGCCGCACGTGTGTTTGTTTGGGAAGCAGCCAGCGGGTAATGGAGGAAATGAGTGTGCCGACTAGAAAAATCAACCGAGCGTGACCGAAGAGAAAACAGATAATGGTTCCAACGCCGGAGAGATTGTCGAACGGAAGAGCCATAGAAGTTCCGTAGTGTGAAGGTATTTTGGCTATTTCAAGTCTGACAAAAAACAGAGTAGCGTGCACTGTAAATTGTGCCGAAAGCAAGTCTGGAAATACAATGAACTGGTGCATGCGTCACACTGTGCGCCACGTTATTGTTTCGGTGAAATGAATTTCTACAATACTGTTAATTCTACTCCCTGCAGTGTTTAAATGCTTACATATACACACAGTTACTGTCCCTCCACACATACGACTCGGTTCTGCTTCTATGCCCCAGCTTTGTTTACTTTTTCCCACCAAGGCTTCTAGACTTCTGATTGGCCAATATTTCTGCACGGTTAGGAATCGAGCGCCACCTGCTGCTTTGGCATGTTCATAGCAGCGTTTTCCTTCATTTCTCCCTTTATGTGTGGACGGGATTATTTTTTAAAACGAAAACGGAAAATCTCAGTTTTCAAAAATACCCGTGTACGTGTGGACGTAGCCTCAGTCTCTAACTGGAAGCGCTAATTCGTCATTCGGCTTTTGTCAGACTAAAGTAACTGTTAAAACTGTTTGAAAAGCTAAGCTATACAACAAGGAGAGATTGAGAATTTCCTTTTAGTTCTCAGTTTATTTGATATTGACAAAAGTTAGTCAGTTTTGTCTGTTCTTCTGTAACACAAACTAAGATTTATTTTTAGAATTAATATTTTGTTTCTAAGTGGAATTGACAATTTAGTAGTCTGTTTCGTTTGTTCTATTTTGAAACCTAAACGCTTTAGCGGCTGCCTTTTGTGTAGTTTGCAATATTTGCCTTTATTTATCTGAAAAAGTCTCATGTTCCTTAAGTACATCTACCCTGTTGAACTTATTATGGGAAATAAATATTTAAATAAAAACAAGCTGCTGATTATTTCACATTTTACTTGTGAGCAACGGCACATTTAAATCTTACAAATATAGTTATTTGGCTTATATCGTGATAGATATCGTTATCGCCTGAAATGAAAAAAACATATCGTGATATGAAAAAATCTCATATCGCCCAGCTCTACTGTCATGTTTCACTGTCTATCTCTTAAGCATTCAGTGGTTATTTGTTGTTGTTTTTTTAGCTGCTCTGAAACGGGAAAATCCACCTGTTAGCTGTAATTTTAGGGTTTGTTAAGCACTTTATACATGAGGAGCTATGTGGAGGAGAGCCTACTTGAGTCACCAGACCAACAAGGAGTGTGACATGTCAGTTTTTTTCTCAAAAGGTTGGCTGTAAAGAGCCACCCAACCATGTGAGTCTATTGACCACAACCAACCAACCCGGTGATGTCAAATTCTGTACTGGCACAAGCTGGCGCTAAACATCTTCTAAAAACGTAGAACTCTTAGCACTTATTTCTTAAATCCAGCTTCACAGACAGAGCTACATCTATGCCAGTTTTTAAGAGGAGGTCTCCGTGATGTAAATTAGCCTTTATACATGAAGTGTTTCATGTTCACTTTAATATGACTTCCATTGCATGCTTGCAATGCTGCAGCTTGCCTTTTAAGTGGAAGCACCAAATGTGACAACAATACTCAGACTGTTTCAAAGTTTGTGGAAGTCTTAAATGGACAAGCGTCATCATTACTTGCCAGACTGCTACAATTTTACATACCAGCCAGTCACACAAAAACCAGATGCTCTTGGTGGTTTTAAAATGTAAAGTAAAACAAAATGATTATTTGAGTTAAGTTCTTGTACTTCATTTGTCTCATTAGTTGGACACGTAATTCTACTACTTTCTCACGGCTCTTAATCTGTTTCAGTTTGAAAGTTTATAATTTGAATAAAACCAGTCTGCTTATTATCCACTGTTTTATTTATGTATGTACTAGGGCTGGGTATCGTCACTGATTTCTAGAATCGATTCAATTCCGATTCACAAGGTCCCGAATCGATTCGATCCACGATTCGATTTAAATCGAATCAAATCGAATTAAAGCTGGGAAATTTTGACAGTCAGAAATATTATAATTCAGATCAGTACATTTACATATTTTTGTATCAATAAAAAGGAAGCTGACACATGCAAGACTTTATCACAGGTGTAAGCGTCACAGCAGATGCCTTTGTGTCAAAGTAGCTGAAGATAAAACACAGAAAAACATGAAGGTGATTTTCCTGGCCTGGGATTTATAAAAATATTCTGCAGTACATCAAAAACGAAAGAAAACCATTAATCAGCATATGAACATTACCTCTGAAGTTACAGCGGTTTTATTAGAGACACGGTTAAGCGTTTTTGCATTTTGAATAATTTTAAAAAGTTTAAATTTGTTCAGTATTGAACAGCAGAAATGAGGTTTTCTTTTCGGAAGAATGTAAAAGGGAAAAAAACAGCGGCCGACAGCCTGTAAACAACAGTAGACTTGTGCGTAACAAGCAAGCGAATAATGAAGAAAGGGAAACTGTTCTTGAAGTACAGAGAGAGAGAGAGAGAGAGAGCTGTGCATCGCGGTGGAAGCAAAACAGTAAAAGTCAGAGTGAATTCATGACGATTTTATGTGAAGCGTTTGGATCTTCTTTTGCTGCTGGTTCGGTCAATATTGTTTGGAGAGAGATAAAACTAACAGCTTTAGAATCGGCGCATAAAGGGCGTGAACACAAAGCGCGGACCGCCGACACATCAGAATCAGCGAGCTGTCGGCTTTCAGCCCTGACTGTGAGAAAGGCGACATCTAACTGATTCTGATCCGCGGGTTGCGCTGTGTGTTTAAGTCTATGTGCAGAATCCG